GAATGTTGAACAGATCTTGTGCAGCTGCATGGGGTTCCTGGTGCGATGGCCATGTCAGGTCTGAAAGATGGCATCTCACAGTCTCTGTCCCATTCTCTGGCTTTTACACTCTCTCTGCCCTATTTCAGAGATGCTCCCTGAGCCTTGGTCTGGGGGTGGTGGCGGTGAGATTATCTATGTCTATCTGATGTGTATCCAGGGCTGAGCCTTGGGGCTGGGGGTGGGGGTGAGATTATCTATATCTATCTGATGTGTATCTAGGGCTGAGCACCTATTCCCACTACTTTAAGTCTCTGGGCTAACTGCTGCTCACTACAAAAAGAGGTCCCCCTAGCCAGGGCTGAGGACAGTACTAATTTATGGGCATAAACACAAACATGGAGAGGCATGTTGTTCCGCCAGTGGACTTGGGGTGGTGGCCGAATATTAGGGTATGGCTTCAGTTGTGTGGATGTGGCTCCTTACAAGGAAGAGGAGGGGCAGGCTCACTCTCTTAGGTAATGGCCAGAGCATCCTGGAGGGCAGATTCTGCATCTTCAGGAGCAGGAAGAGAACAGTGGTGGTTATTTGCCATCGTTGTGTAAGTACTCCCATAATAAATACCTGTTAATCATTTATCTGGTATGATTGTGAGCCACCACCACATTGTTGATGGGAATTGAACACAGAACCTCTGGAAGAGCAGCCAGTGCCATTAAGTTCTGAGCCATCTCCCCATCCAGATAGGCAGGACTAGGAGGCAAAGAGGGTTCTGGGAGAGGTAGTAGAGAGGACTCAAGATGTCAGACTTCAGACCCTCTCTCTGGTAAGAAAAGACCACATGGAAACACTTAGATTGATAGAAATGGGTTAATATTTAAGACAGAGGTAGCCAATAAGAAGCTCTAGCCATTGGCCAACAGCTTTATAACTAATAGAGTCTCTGTGTGTTATTTTGGAACTGACGAGGCTCTGGGACCAGGCTGGTAGGAAACTGCTCATAACAAAATAGCGCCTACAATGTGGATACTAAGAACTTCCACTTAAAACTTGACAAAAGCTTAAAAAGGGATTTTAAAAACAAAAGGACAGAGACAAGCAAGGCTTTTTGGTAGCAGCATTTTCTTGGATGGGCTCTGTTTTGCTAAAGACAAGCAGAGATTTGCACATCTCCATTGAGGGAGGTTTCCCCAACTTGGCATAAGAGGCACACAAAAAACAAAACAAAACCAAATGAACAAAAAACACAGCTCTTTTAAGAAGCCCTGCTAGCAACTGAGTGGTGTATATGAGAGCTGCCAATGGCAGTGACCACATCTCCAAGCTGACAGCATGCTGCTTTCTGGCAGCATAGACCAAGACGGTGAGCACAGCTCTCACTGCTGAAGGTAAACGTACCCCTGCCATATTGGAAAGCAATATCGTTGTTTAGCAGATAAAATATTCTTGGCCAGAAAAAGATAAAGATTTACAGTAAAGACAGATTAAGATAAATAAAAACCTCTAAAAGTTTACAGTGTGTTTAAAATATACATATGCTTGGGAGTGAAAAAGAAACAGAATAAAATGGTTTAAAAAAAAAAAAAACCAAAGAGTACCTAGGTATGGTGGCACACACCTTTAATTCCAGCACTCAGGAGGCACAGGCAAGCAGATCTTTGTGATTTCAAAGTGAACATGGTGTACAGAGTGAATTTCAGGACAGAGAAAAGTTCACAGAGAAATCTTTTACCCAAAAATAAAAAAATAGCTGGGCATTGGTGGCACCCGCCTTTAATCCCAGCACTCTGGAGGCAGAGGCAGGTGGATCTCTGTGAGATCGAGGCCAGCCTGGACTACACAGCTAGTTCTAGGACAGGTTCCAAAGAAATACAGAGAAACCCTGCCTTGAAAAACCAAAAAAAAAAAAAAAAAAAAGATGAAGAAGTTAAAGAAATAGAGTAATAAAAAAACGGTACCTAAAGACGGAAAGTACACAGGAGTCTGGATACTGTGTGCTATTGTGTTGTCTTTGAATTGCTCAATTGCTAGGAAGGAACAACAGCTGCTAAAACGCACTTGATTATCAATGCTGCTGAATTAATCCAATTTATATATTTTAAAATGCTTTGACTTCAAATTTTAAGTCTAAGGACAGGTTACTGGGGGAAAGAATTTCTAATTTTGTTTCCACAGAAAATGAACAGCTGTAGATTCCTTCCAGGCTAACGTGATTTGATCAAGCAAGACCCCCTGAAATAGTGTCCCAGGTGATCCAACATTCAAAACAGCTGAGATGTTAAGAGTAGTTTTTCCACCTGCCCGCCTGGTCCCACAGCCGCACCAGCCCCAAATAACACACAGAGACATTGTATTAAATATAAAGCTGTTGGCCAATTACTAGTTTCTTATCAGCTAGCTCTGTCTTAATTATTAACCCATTTCTATTAATCTGAGTGATGGGAGATGTCATTGTATACATATGTTTCTCATATTGATTAATGAATAAAGCACTGGTGGCCAACCGGAAAGCAAGATTGGCCGGACTAGGAGATAAGGAGGAGAGAGGAAGAAGTAGGGAGGAGATTCAAGATGGAGGACAGAGAGTACAGAATACGTTGGGCCCTCTCTCCGGTAAGATGAGACCATGTAGAAATACTTAGATTAATAGAAATGGGCTAATATTTAAGACAGAGCTAGCCAATAAGAAACAAGTAACTGGCCAACAGCATTTTTATCTAATACAGTATCTCTGTGTGTTATTTGGGGCTGGCGTGGTGGTGGGACAAGACTGGCAGGAAAACCTCTTAACAGAATATTTTCTTTAATTCTTGCTAAATGTTAATGGACTAAATATTGCTAACTAGAGTTCCTATTTGGCAACTGTTTTGTTATATATTTTACTATGTTAAAGTTAAAACACTTCTTTTTATTTTAGACATAAAGGAGATGATGGGAGATGTCATTCTGTAAATATGTTTCTCCTGTTGGTTAATGAATAAAGCACTGTTGACAAATAGAAAGGCAAGATAGGTGGGACTAGGAGACAAGGAAGATTCTGGAAGATGTAGTAGAGGAGTCAAGATGTAGGCTATGAGAGGAATAGTAGGTTTGTACTCTCTCTCTGGTAAGACCACATGGAAACACTTAGATTGATAGAAATGGGTTAATATTTAAGAAACTCTAGCCATTGGCCAACAGCTTTATAACTAATAGAGTCTCTGTGTGTTGTTTTCGGACTGACGAGGCTCTGGGACCAGGCTGTTGGGAAAGTACTCATTAACACTCCCCTAATAAACACCTGTTAATTCTTTATCTGACGTGATTGTGAGCCACCATGTGGTTGCTGGGAATTGAACACAGAACCTCTTAAGTTCTGAGCTATCTCCCCATCCTCCCAGAAGACACGCCCTAAGATGCTGCCAGTACCCTAAATCCACTGTTGGGACAACTACATAAACATCTAGAAAGAAGTCTGGCAACATGCAGTTTAGCAAAACGGCAGCAGCAGGTTCTTCCCTAGGGCCATGACCTCCTGAGCCATGGGATTTACGGACTGAGGCTGAATCCAAAAGTCGTCGGTTACCCTCATAGCTGTCATGCTCCCTCTACACCAGTGGGCACATCTCGCCTGGTGGGGTTGTCTGCAGGGATATCACAGGTGCTCTACCCTCCCCAGCCTGCGTATCACCTTCTGCCACTATGAAGGCTAGCCCTCGGGAGGAAATGTTCATGCCAGTTCTACCTTGATGTCTCTTAAGTCTAACTACCAGAGTGTACCGTGTCTTCAGCAAGTGTCTTACTACTTAGTTTTGGTGGGCAAGCAAGAGCAGCAGCGATAGCCTGTATTGTTTGGGGGGACCGTCGTAAGTCATAGGATGCTACCCCATGCCTGGTATTGAGGTTTTCATTTACTAGCCCGTGTCTTCTGGGGGAATACTCGTCCACCCACACAGGGTGTCTATATTCGAAATTCTATTTTTACAAATGTGTTTTCTTTTTAAGCCTTGCTTCTATTTTATGTGCGTACGCCACCTGCATGCAGTACCCGTGAAGTCTGGAAGAGGGCGTTCGGAATGGCCGTTACAGTCACTCATGAGCTCCCAGGTGGATGCTCGGACCCAAGCCCAAGTCTTCCGCCAGAGCAACGAGTGCTCTTAATTTCTCAGCCGTCTCTCCAGACCCTTCCTTCATATTTTTCTTTTAATTAGCCTAAAAAGGTAGTGGGTTTCCATAGGGGTTACAATACTTTAGCCATGTTTCCTGACCGTGGAGACCGTTTAAAATATATTGTCTTCAACTAACATACCAGAGTCAATGCTAACAGTATCTGGCTTAACTTCCTAAGACTCACATTACCAGCTATGGTGGCACAAGTCTGTAATTCTAGCACTTGAGGGTGTGGGGCAAAATCCTGAGCGGGCCGGTGAGATAGTTCGCTCGGTAAAGATGCCTGCTGCCAAGCCGAGATCAGACTCCCACAAGTTATCTTCTGAGCTCCGAATGAGTTTGAGGTCAGCCTGGTCTACATAGCACATGCTAGGCCAGCCAGGGCGACACAGCAAGACCACGCCTCAAAAAGCAGACAACAACAAAATGTTGGGGTTTTATTATTATTATTTTATTTAAAAGCTTCAGAAACGGAGATGGAGTTGGAGACACGGCTCAGCGGTTCAGAGCTCGGGGCTGCTCTCGCATTAGAGTCGAGTTCGACTCCAGGGAACTCACGCGGTTCCCACAACCAACTGTAAACCCCGGGCGCCGGGACCGACGCCCTCTTCCGACCTCCGCGTGTACTGCATGCACACAGCGCACATCCACACCCACTCGGGCAAAAACACAAAGATGCACGATGGATCTGCACTTCAAAAGAACTAAGCCGAGTCAAGCTGGGGTGGGCCTCCCTTCTGCACGCTGGCTCCGCCTCCCTCAGCGTCCCGGGCCGCCCTCGGCTTCCCGTCGCCACCGGGCGGGCGCGGAGAGGCTACGCCCAACCCGAGGGGGACAGGGCGGGACATCCGCCGGCGCCGGGCCTCTCCCGGAAGTGACGTCGGAGTGTCAACATGCAAGATGGCGGCGCATCACCGGCAGAACACAGCCGGGCGGAGGAAAGTGCAGGTATGGCGGCCGGGCTCGGCCGTGCGGGCGACGCTGCCGCCGGGCCGGCTTCCCCCGCGGGCGGGCGGACGCCTCGGGCCGCGGCCGGCGGGGTTCGGCGGCCGGCGGGGGGCGGGGCGGGGCGGGGCGCGGCCGCGCGAGGGGTGGGGCGGCGGCGCCAACGGCCCGAGGCGGGCGCGCGCGCGGGAACCGCCGTCCCGGGGCACCGGGCTGCGGCGGCGCCATGGGCCTGCTGCCCGCTCACCTGCCTCTGCTCTCGGCCGCCTTCCTCCGGCGCGGCCGCCACCCTGCGGCGGAGGCCGCGCGGCGCCGGCGGGTGGGTGAGCCCGGCGGCCGGGCCTGCGGGGCCGCACGTGGGTCTGCGGGCCCGGGCCTGCGCCTCCCTCTGCCCGGCGCCTCCCTCTGCCCGGCGCGGCTTCCTGCCTTGCTCTTTCTTTAGTCCCCGTCTCCGCAGCGTCGGGCGGAGTAGCGGGTGATGAGTTAGTTAACCCACGCCGTGGGTGCCGTGCGTTTCCCTGAAATCGCTGCGGTTGGGTGGACTTCTTGGTTTTTTTTTTTTTTTTTTTTTTTGAGTTGAGCTTGCTGCTGCCTTTTGGGCTGGGGGTTGGCGTTGGTTTGGCGGTGCTCCCTGCCCTAAGCAAGGGCAGCTCCCCCCTCCCCACCCTGCACCGCCTAAAACCAGGCCTGGTGGGTGGTAGGTAGCTGCCTGTACTCCTGGCACCTGGGTCATTCATTCTCCGGTACCTAACAAGTTTTGAGATGAGTGTGAGCTACAGGAGACGCTGGCTTTTAAAAAAAAAAAAAAAAAAAAAATGTTATCTGCCGCAGCAACCTTTTATCTTAAAGGATGAGTTTGTTGGCTTTGGAAGCCCTGTCGGGGACTTGCAAAGGTGTACTGACTCATTAGACACGAACTGACACTCCACACACTAAACTTTGTTTAGTTACTGTCAGAAGACAGTAACCCCAGCATAAGGTTCTAAAACTCTGAAATTTTCTGAGTTAAGTGCCCTTTTTCTGTTACTTGTCTCCCTGATCAGTGCAATGTTCTTATGAACTCACTGGCTACATGGTTGTTAAAATGATTAGAATTGAGCTAGGGAGATGTCTCGGTCTCGTAAAGGGCCTGGAGCACAAGCGTAATCTAAATTTCTTTCCTGTCACTTGAAAGGAAGCCTATCATGTTGGTTGACACTTGTGATCTCAGCTCTAGGGGCGCGGAAGCGGAAGGATCCCTGAAGCCTGGTGGCTAGCTAGTCTTGCTGTTCAGGACCAGTGGACAGTCCTGTGGACAGTCCAGTGGACAGATAGGTGGACAGTTACCAATCAAGGAAAAGGCACCCAGATCAAGCTCCAACCCCCAGTCACATACATACGTGTGTCTGCGTGTATTGTGTACACATACACAAATAATGAAATATTTAAAGAATAAGTAAAATTACAAGACTCTAAAGTCCCTTAGCTTTCCCTGAATAGGTGTTGTTTTTCTTTTAAAGGGCATTCGTGATGGGATTGCCGTAACCCCAGCTTCCAGGTGGTGAGAATGCCGTTCCCAACTAAGTTGTAACTTAGTCATGTTCTACACACTAGGATGGTGGTTAATAGAGTAAGGATTATCAGTTCTCTCCATTTGGGGGCAAAGATTTAAAAGACGAGGGCTGGTAAGAAGGCTTGGAGGGTAAAGGTGCCTGCTCCCTCCTGGGACCCACAGGGGAGAAAGTGAGAACTGACCCCATGTTACCCTCTGACCTCCAAAGGTGCTTTGTGGCACCACCATCCTACATAAATGCATGCTTTAAAGCATTTAAAAGTCAGCTCTGTGGATATGCCTCAGTGTAGAGCACTTGCCTGCCTTGCACAGAGCCCTTGAGTTCAGACCCTAGCATCTTTAAAGGAAAAAAAAAAAAAGATTAAGACAGTATTGATAGAGGGTGAAGATGAAATGAACCACACACAGCAGGTGCAAAAACGGAAGTTTAAATAGGCCAGATCCAGTGCAAAAAGGATGCGGGAGGTGATAATTCTACTCTTAACTGGTCAGATGAAGCTAGAGTTTGCTGTTGAGGCCTTCTGTCAGCAACAAGCAGAATGTAACTAGACACTATTCCCTGTCAGGGGTGAAGTTAGCCTGCTGAAAAGAAGGTTAAGAATTTGTCCAGTAGGTACAGAAGCCACAGAGACAGATTTCACCTCAGTGTGCAGAGGGGTGGGTACACATCCATGCATGAAGGACCCACAAATAGTACACAACTGTGAAGTCTGCCTGCCCTCCACTGTCTCCCGGCAGCAAGTGTGTGGATTGCCCTGTGTCACCCTACACTGGGGCTTCTCAGCCACTCTCGGCACTGCAGGTCAGCTCGGTCTCCCCTGAAGGACATAAGGATCCTTGGGACCCCCGACTTGGGCCCACTAGATGCAACTGTACCTCTCCTGTCCTCCGAAAACTGTCCAGTTAGAAGTTTCCTTTGAGGCAGAATTGACACTGGTTGAAAGCTGTATGTATGCTTTCCCGGTTTGCTTCTTGACTTGTATGACTTTTTACTTTAAACAGAGCTGTGGCATTCATTGCTCTGTGTGTCTTGTATTGCCAAAATAGTGTCTTACTTTTAAAAATGTGTTCTGTCCTTTCCTGGTGATACACCCCCATAATGCCCGCACTCAGGAAGCAGAGACAGGCCTAATCTACATACCACATTCTAGGTCACCCAGGGCTACATTGTGAGACCATGTCTTTAAAAGAAATTATTCTACAAAATCACACACCTCTGTAATCTCTCTCTCCTTATCTGAGAGTATTTGTTTTAGGAATGTTATTGTGGGAAACAAAATAATGAATATCCATCTTTGGAAATCTCAGTGTATGTAGTTGTCAGATAAAATATGATATATTCCTGTGGTGAGCTACTTTGCAATTATCAAAAAGTAAACTAGAAGCTGGGATGATTGCTCTGGCAAAGTGCATGCCACATGAGGGTCTCTGCTCAGATCGTCAGTGCCCACATAAAAAGCCAGGTGTGCTGCCAAAGTCTTGGTATGGAGAAGGCGGAGACCGGGAGCTCACTGGAGCTTGCTAGCCATCTAGTCTTGAGGAATTGATAAACTTCAGATTCTGTGAGAGGCCATGCCTCAGATAAAAATAAAATGGAGAGTAATAAAACAGAAAGCCCTGACACTTGACCTCAGCCCTCCATGCACGAACTCTCACGCACACATGCATGCCAATGCACACACATACACACACACACACAAATCACTCACACTCAATATGCTAGGTTCATATAATCAAAACAGAAAGGTATCCAGAAATAAGACCAGCAAGTCGACGTGGTATGTTCTCATTTCCATAAAGGAAGGTGGTGGCTTTACTGGAAGGTGTGTTGTACATGGTGGCCCATGAATCCCAACACTTGGAGGCAGAAGCAGATGGATCTCTGTTCGAGGCCAGCCTGGTGGTCTACCTCATTCTTACGTTTATGTGCTAGGCAAAGCCACTTTCTTAGTGAGCTACTTCTCCAGCCCCCAAATGCTGTTTAAAAGAGTTACAAACAGAAAGTCTTAACTTAGGGGACTAGAGAGGAATGGTTGTGGGATAGCAGTTATGTTTGGCCAGTTTTTCCAGGACTGGACTGGACTGACCTGCTTTCTGGAAATAGCCTTGCCCAGGAGCTGCATGTTCCTATTAACAGGCCATTGTGAAGATAAAACTGTAGTTCGATTGTCTTAAGGACGGAGTGTGTAAATTGGGAACTACTTTGTAGGGTGTAATCATGTTCTCTGTCTTTGTAAAGGTTTGTACTGCACAGGTGTATTTTATGTCAAGTATCCATGGCGTGTTTCACTGTAAATTTTATCTTGAATAAGTTATATATAGATAGTAAAGGCATTAACAACTAGACAGTGGCGCATGTGCCTCAGTGTTCAGAAGTATCATTGATGTGCTGCTTGCTCTGAAAGTCATGAGGACGAGGTGGGTCAGATGGATGGAGGAGTCAGTGAAGCAAATGTAGACATTGTTAGCTGAAGTGTGTGCATACTGAAGTGCACTGTTCAATGTGTAATTCTTTCAGACAGGAAACACTGATTGTAGAATAGCTGGGTGGTGGTGGTGGTGGTGCAGGCCTTTAACCTCAGCACTGGGGCAGAGGCGGGCAGAATTCAAGGCCAGCCTGGGCTAGAGTGTTTCAGGACAGCCAAGGCTACCAAAGAAATCCCGTCTCAAAAAAAACAAAACAAAATTAACACACAAAAAAGCTGATCACAAAAATACTGATCATGGTGAGTGGTAGTAGAAACGGAAGTTGTGATGGTGGTGGTGGTCTCTCTCTGTGGGCCTGGCTGACCTGAAACTCACAGAGACCTGCCTGCCTCTGCCTCCGTGCTAAGCAGAAGTGGAGTCTTTGTGCTGCTCAGAGAAGCCCTGCTTGAGGCGACTTGAAAGGCCTTGGAGTGAAGGGATGAGACAGACAGTCCCTGAGCCATGGACCCCATTGGGAATGGCCGTGAAAGCCCCGAGGTGGGAAGGGAACCCAGTTTGTGGGTCAGTAGAGAGGCCTGGGGTTAGGGAGGAGGGGGAGATGGAGTAAGACAAGTGGCTGCAGCCGGACAGGGGAGAGGGGAGGTGAGTGGCGGCACAGTTTGGAAAGAATGCCAAGAGCGGTCCAGGGATGAGTATTCCACAGCAGTAAAACCTTGATGAGTAGAGAGGCCGGTACTCCATTAGAGGAAATGTGCTCTCATCCTGGTCTTCCAAATACTCAATAGAAGTGAATTAGTGCTCAGCCTTAGGAGCCTGAGGGGCTTGTCCAGGGCTCCTTTATGAGGCTTGGAGGTGGGGGTGAGAGGCAGCTTGTAGGGCGGGGTAGGACCCCCGTCAGGTTTGTCACCGAGTGCTGCCACCCGCTTACCTCTTAGTTGCCCCTCCCAGCCCCCCCCCCTTGTTTGGCTTGTTTTTCTTCTCCCTTCTTGAAAAGGTCTCTATATGCCCTGGCTGTCCTGGAACTCACTCTGTAGACAAGGCTGGCCTAGATCCTCTTGCCTCTGCCTCCCGAGTGCTGGCTTTAAAGACATGTGCTACTTCACCCAGCCCTCTTTTTTAAAGTGCTTACTGTTTTTATTCTATAAGATGGCCATGCTTATATGGAAGTTGTTCTGCTGCTGTGGTAGACAGAAGAGGCTGCCCCCAGAAGCGCTGGTGCCCTCATCCCTGGGGCTGTCTACCCACACAAGGGTGGGTGGGTGTCTGCAGGCATGAGGTACCACACCTTCTAGATTGAAAGGTCGTTCTGGATGCACAGCAGAGCCAGGGGTTGGTCCAGGGACAAAATCCAGAAACGTCTCAACACAAGAAGGTCCTAAACGCTTAAGGACGGCCTGGGTAAGGTAAGGTGTCCAGGAGAGAACACAGATGAGGCTGGAGGTGCGGTGACAGTGGTGACAGTGGGGGCTGGGGAACTAAAGAAGGCTCGGTACACAGGCACCCACCTTTGTCTATCTGTCTTTTTTATTTTGAGGCAGGGTTTCTCTGTGTGGCCCTGGCTGTCCTGGAACTCGCTTCGTAGACCAGGCTGGCCTTGAACTCAGAGATCCACCTGCCTTTACCTCCCTGGTTTTTCTTTCTTTTAATGCTTGAGGCAGAACCTAGTGCCTCACACATGGCAGGTTAATTCTCAGTCAGCCCTTGTAGCTAAATTTCTTCATGTACTTCAAGTGAGAGGGTAAAGCAGAGACCTTTCCAGTCATGCAAGAGTTATCATCACCTGGTGTATGTTTTCACTCTTAGCAGAACTAAGAGATCCAGGCGAGGCGGTACCATTTGAGCTAGAAGCAGTAAGTGCTCTGGCCCAGAAAAGCAGGAAAGGGAGGCACCAGAGGTGGAATGTAGCACTAATTCTAATTGTCCCTAATAATTAAAAACCCAGAGGCAGGTATTGGGGTTAAAGCCGAAGATCAGAGAAGCAGAGCAGCCAGTAAAGAGCTCTCAGCTCCACCAGTGCTCAGACGGAAAAGTGATCCTGTCCTCAGGCTCCCTGAGCTCTGTCTCCTCCGGGCTTAGATTCCTCTCCAGTGCAGGGATTAAAGGTCTGGGATCGCCTTCGTGTGAGCTGTTTCTCTTTTAGACTCCATCAGTTTTGTGTAGCTCAGAGTGGCCTTGAACTCGCAGAGATCCATCTGCCTGTCTCAGTGCTGGGATTAAGGTGTGTTCCACCACTGCCTGGCTTCTATGGCTAGCTAGTGTGGCTAGCTTTGCACTCTGATCTTCAGGCGATCTTTATTATATCACAAGCAAAATACCACCACAGCGGAAGCTGCACCGTCTGCTCTGGAGGCTTTGGGAAAGCCTGCTCTGTGTCCTCAGGCCCCACCCCGGGGCTTTATGTACAATTCACGTGCCATTGGAGAAGGACATTCTGGGAGAGCATTCGGTGCACCCGCCATTTCTATCTTCTCAGAACAGGACTACAGGTCTTGTCCTGGACTGTCAGCCAGCGAGAGGCAAACCACCCCCATTTCCCGGCTGACTGTCCTGTCTCAGGGGTACTGGGTGTATTCGGTATATATGGTTAAAAGGCTGGTGAAAATGGACTAGACAAATACAAGCAGCTAGGAGGCTGGGAGGTGTCCGGGTTGTTGGCAGCAGACCTGCTTGTCCTGAGCTGGGTTGTCAATGATGCCCTGTAGTCGCTGTGGAATAAGATGAAAACAGAACTGTTGGCTTGCAGCTAGCTTGGTGTTGAAATCAGCATGGCCTGGCTTTTGTTGGTGTCCGCCAGGTTTCCTACGTTATTCGAGATGAAGTGGAGAAGTACAATCGGAACGGAGTCAATGCATTGCAGCTGGACCCAGCGCTCAACAGGCTCTTCACAGCGGGGCGGGACTCCATCATCAGAATATGGAGTGTCAATCAGCACAAGGTGAGGTGGGGAGTCACCGCCTTTGGGTAACTCAGAGCTTGGACCAGGGGCTTTGTCTGATGAGCACTGAGCGTCGGTAAAGATGTTATTGCCCTCAGAGTTCTGTAAGCCTGTGAGAAAATGCCTGTTAACACAGGGGTCCATAAATCCCTTTGCCTTGAGAGGCCCCTGCCACAGAGGAGCAAATATATTTGGCTGGTGGGGAATGAGCACTTTCTACAGGGTTTTGGTTTCATTATGAACCTGAAAAGTCTCTTGATAACAATGCTGAAAATAGAACAACAAAATGTTGAATTATGTGCTTTTACAAATATTTAACTTCTTCATAAAAAGTGGTTAGGGCCCCTACAACATGCTAGGGTCTTACTGGCTAACATGGTGGATGCGAAACCATGGAGGCCGCTCTCTCCTTCCACAGGCTTTGTTGTTTCTTTTGCAGCACTGAGCATTAAGTCCGGGCCTGACAAGCACCCTACCACCACTGAGCTACACCCCAGCTTTGAAAGCCTCTTGCTTAAGCAGTGAGAGCCAGTTAAATGCATCCTCGTCAAGACACTTTTGAGGCTAATAATGAAACCAAAATCCTGTGAAAGTGTTCATTCCCCACCCGCCAAACGGTGCTGCGTGGAAGGGATGTGGGCAGTCGGATGGGAGGGAGCTCTAGGGTTGTCTGAATGTTGCCTTGTGAATGATACAGAAAATGGTACTGTGGAGGAACAGGAGCATTTCCCGAGCTCTTAACTATGTGTCTTGGCCCCTTGTACTCACCAAGATTTGAAGTCCCCAAAATCCCTCTCAGGGCAGTAAACTGGGGCTCAGCCTAATCTCAGACCCCTGGTGCCAGCAGCTGTATCTTTTAAGTTTGTGTCTTTTAGCCATCTCTAAACCTGTGTTCACTGCAGATGGAGAATAATTGGCAAGGCTGCCTGGTAAGGTTTCTTCCCGTGGACTCAGTCCAGCAGGTTTTGAGTTCTTGAGCCAATGAAGACCATGTCAAAGGCATGAGAATCAGAAAGTGTGTGTGCAATGCCATAGGAACTCATGTTTGGATTACGTTAACTTTGTGAGAATCTGCAGTATTTTGAGCAAATCAAGGGGAATTGCAGCTTACCTAGACTCTGGCAGTCTGTCTGTCCTACCCTCAAACATCTTTTCCCTGGTCTTGACAAGAAGATTGCATAGCCTCCGTTCTTAGACATATAAAGAGAGCTATTCTCTTGCTCATGAAATGTGTAAACTAGCCTGTCTTGGTGTGGGTCATAACTAGACGCTGTCTTTAAAGGCTCTGGTAGTTGAGCCTAGGTATACTGTGTCAGAAATCCCTACCTCGGGTTCCCCAAGTCCTTCCTAGCTCCCTGCTCTGTGTCCCTGACCGTGCCCAGCCCAGAGCCTGTCAGTTCCACCACAAGGTGTAAGACTTAACCTTGGAACCCTGGGCTTTCATTATGGCAACTGTCCTGAAACAAACTTGCTGCTGTCAGTTCTCTGGAAGCCTCACCTGTTTGGGGAAGCGCCCCTCTAGGTTTAACCGAAGAATCTGCGTGGCTGTACTTTGTCACGCGTTTGCTCTGCTGTAAACTGCGTGGTTTTCCATTTCAGCAAGACCCGTACATAGCATCTATGGAGCACCACACAGACTGGGTGAACGACGTTGTGCTCTGCTGCAGTGGGAAGACGCGTAAGTGCTGGAGGTTGTGAATTCTGTCTGTGTGCGTGCGTGCGTGCGTGCACAGAGGTTTGAATACACATGGACACCAGAGGTTGATGCCAGCTGTCTTTCTTCCATGATGCTACACCGGTGTTTGAGGCAGAGTCTCTCACTGCTCTAGAGTTCACCGGTTGCTGGGTTAGCTAACTCCTGCGCTCCCGGATCTGCTGCTTTCCATTCCCACCCCTCGCCAGCATTGGCATTACAGCAGGGCTACACAGTGTGTGCCTCCACCCAGGTGTGTTTTAATGTGGGTGCTGGTGATAGCTAACGCCTGCACAGGAGACCCTTACTTGGGGAGCCATGCCCCAGCCCCTGCAAGACTTTTTCATTGAAGCACAACATACATGCAGAAGTGCATCCATTAAAACCACAGTAGAATAGAACAGAGAGGGTTACCAGGAACCTCCTTGTGCCCCCCACCTTCCTTTAGTCACTCAGCATGGTCACCGCAGTTAGTTTTATACAAATTTGAATTGTAGATAAATAGAACCCTTAGTGTGACATTTTTCTTATTTTGGTAAGTTCCATTTCTTGGTTTTTCAGTCTGATTAATTAGTCTCCATTAAGGACTTCACCGGACACTTTGTCCTGTCTAATTAAAACCAATAATGTATATATACATTTACATATGTTTTTGAGGCATTGTTCAGTAAGTTCTGGAAAGAGCTTTTCAGTGTGCTTGTGCGTGCAGTCGTTTGTGGTAGCATCACTTGCTGTAAGAGAGCCTTAAAGCCACAGGTCACTCCAGTAAGGCCTTGGTTGACTTTGTCTCTTGTAGTGATATCTGCTTCCTCTGACACAACGGTCAAAGTGTGGAATGCGCACAAAGGGTTCTGCATGTCCACACTCAGGACACATAAGGTAACGTCCACACTTCAGTCTTCCTATCATGTTGGGAACTTAGTTCTTTGTGTGACTCATGTTCTAACAGTGTAGATCATAGTGTGTCTGTTCTGTTTTAGGATTATGTAAAGGCTTTAGCGTATGCCAAGGATAAAGAGCTGGTAGCATCAGCTGGATTGGACAGACAAATATTCCTTTGGGATGTGAATACTCTAACAGCATTGACTGCCTCAAATAACACAGTCACAAGTAAGGTGTTTGAAAATAATTTTTTGAAGGTGATCTAATTTGACATAAAGAATGGTTTATACAACATCTTTGTTACATTTGCATCGAGACAGTGGCATATAGCTTCTAGCCCCCAAGGGTATGATTGAACTAGGACCCAGCTCATCACTGTGCTGTAGACTTAGCTTCTCCAGAAGGTACCTGGCTATCTCACATGCATGTGCATGCCTTAGCTACATATACATGGCTATGGTGTAAGTCCCTGCAGGTAGAGAAGGCCCTTTTCTCTTATCACTGTGTACTTCCCATAATGTTGCTGCCCCTCCCCCCACACACACACACAGCCAGTGCTCTTGAAGAAGGTGACAGCAGGCTCTTTTCTGACTTCAGAGTCTTGCTGTATCTATGAGCTTTTGTGTGAATGGCCGAGATGAGAAATACACAGGGAGAGAAGAATCAAGCATGTCTGGAAAAGTCCTGGGAGGCTGGGTGCTTCTAGAGGGAATGGAGAGGTGTTCAGTGTGGCTGTTTGATAAACTGACAAGTCAGTTTTCATTTTGTATTTCTTTGAATAACAGTGACTTTGGAACTGTTCAAGCCCATTTTAGAAATACACTGCTTATGTGGATCAGCACAGCTCAGTTTAACATGTTTACAAACGGTATTTAGAATTGTCTCTATCGTAGATAAATTTCATGTCATTAAAAGTATTTGTAAAGATAAGATTTCCTAAGTCAAATGTGTAAGCTTGTGATTTTTGGTGACAAGTTGCTGAACACCTGGTCATTTTGTTAACCCTGAACTCCCTTTATCCTCAATAGCTTCTTCTTTAAGTGGGAACAAAGATTCCATTTACAGCCTGGCCATGAACCAACTGGGAACAATCATTGTATCGGGTTCCACTGAGAAGGTAAGGGTGGCCTGGCCAGTATCTCTGAAGCGAAGAAGGTGGAGTCATTGTACCTGTTCAGTCATTAAGTGCATGTACAGAGCTGTAGTCCCAGCACTGGGGGGGGGGGGGGGCTGAGGCTGGAGGATCTCTTGAGTCTAGAAGTTCACAACCAGCCTAGACCACACAATCAAATTCCTGTCTCAAGAGAAACTAAAAATAAACATAATAAAGAGGAGTAATTTTGTGTAGTGGATGATAGCAGTGTTGTTCGCATACATAGAGTTAACATGCAAGCACTGTGCCTGTAGTGGTGGGCACTGTGATCTGGGGCATGGGCAGCGTGCATTGGCTGCAGCAGTGTTTGCTCCTCAGAATTTAATAGCTGGCATTCGATATGAAAGTCGGGTGCTTGCAAAAGCTTGTTATGTGTATATTTGGTGTGTAACTCTGTAAACACCGGCAGGTTCTAAGAGTGTGGGACCCACGAACGTGTGCGAAACTCATGAAGCTGAAAGGGCACACAGACAACGTGAAGGCCCTGCTGCTGAACAGGGACGGCACACAGGTAGGAGCTGTTTGCACACTCAGCCCGTGCTCAGCACAAGTTTTCATCTTTGGAGTGCTGGGTGGCCCAGTGGTTAGCGCACTTGTTGCTCTTGGAGAGAGCTGGAGTTTTCATTCCCACCCAGCACACAGGTGGAGCAGTTCACAGCCTTCTATAACCCCAGCTCCCAGGGGGTCTGGCTCCCTCTGCTGGCCAGTGCACTTCAATGACATCTACTCACACAGTACACATACTTCTAAAAATAAAACAAGTCTTTAAAAAGTAGAAAACTCAATTGCCAGCTGGGTGTGGTAGCTCACACCTGTAATCCAGTGACTCGGGAGACTAAGGCAGGAAGATAGCAATGAGTTTAAGACCAGGCTGTGTTAGATAGTGAATATAGGGTTCTCAATAAATAAATAAAGCCGCTAAGTTTCACTCATAGTACTCCACATAAAAGGACTTTGTTGTACTGAAGGCAGAACAAGAAAGCTCCCTAGGATGTGCGGTCCTGGTGCAGATGTGTGCAGTTCGGCTGCACAGAGGTCAGCGCAGCTGACAGTGCTAACTTTGTGAGCAGAAGCGAGCTTTGCCGGCAAACCCTTTGCCTGCTGTGAGGGGCCGGTCTCGCTCGCGGTCGTCTGGCGTGGGCAGCTGTGTCGTTGGCTGTGTTGTCTACAGTTGAGTCTCTAGCAGTGGGCTGGAAGGCCCAAAGCCCTCCCGAGCCACTGCAGTCTGGGTCCCGTTCCCGCTTGGTAATTCATAATATGCACTGGGTGAGGGATTTAAGGTCGCATGGAGAGAGCCCTTAAAGTCAGCTCTACTTGCTGCACGCACCAGTGTCAGTGGGGCTGGGCTTATACATCTGAGCTGCCTGTTGGGTCTTAGGGTGTGTAGTTGTCTGTCACCTGCATGGTTTCTCTGGCAGTTCAAGTCCCAAACCTGGCATAGGGGTGTGGGGTCACAGCATCAGGCTACTCTTTCCAGTGGCAGTCAGGGCCCCACACACCGCACCTCCTACTGCTGTCATTGGGGGACCAGGGATGTCTGCTTGGACTTCATGATCTGTCTGGGTGAGTCTGATGCAGCATTGCATTTGTCTGAGATAATCTCGTCGGACATCTCACATTTTTAGCCAGTGGAAGGAGAGAGAGGTGAAGATGGGAGTGCCAACTGTTCTGTAGGCTCTGCTAACTCGGACCATGAGTAGGGAGGCTGCTTACAGCGGGGCGCTCCGGGACCTGCCTCCTGCTGGGCGGGGCGCTCCGGGACCTGCCTCCTGCTGGGCGGGGCGCTCCGGGACCTGCCTCCTGCTGGGCGGGGCGCTCCGGGACCTGCCTCCTGCTGGGCGGGGCGCTCCGGGACCTGGCCTCCTGCTGGGCGGGGCGCTGGCTGTTTGAGAGCAGTTCTTTCCGTGGCTTGCTGTCCTCGTGGCCGCAGGATGCTGGCTGCTGTTGAGATTGTGCGTGTCCCGCATTTGATGCAACTTCTGTGCCTTCTCTGCTCCCACCTGTGCAGTCTGCATCTGCTGCCTTGACTGTTGCAAGTCTCCAGCTGTGTGGGCTGCAGAGCATCGTCTTTGCCTGACATTGCAGTCTGTGGGCGTATGTCCTGGGATCTGGGGGACTGGAGCTTTCCTGAGAGAACTGTCACCTCACAGTAGCATCTTCTGGCATAGGGAGCCCCTCCTTGGCCCTGTCCCAAAGAATGTCTGAGTTGTCACTTCACCCAGGTTGGATCGATCGTTCCCTTGTGAACTAGTTGAAAGAGGTGATTAAATTCCTGGTGCTCCTGGCAGTTGGTGAGGAAGTCTTTCTGTTCATTTAATTAACCCTGCCCAGAGGCTCACAAGCTCCTGAAAATCAAGAGGCAGAGGGGTAAATCGTTAACGGTTTAACCGCCATTCATTTAAGAACCACCCAGATCCGGGCTCACAGCTGCTCTCTGGAGCTGTCCATGCCTTAGTCTATACTCCAGCACAGCATTGCTTTTCCTTGGAACCATTCTTTTCCCCGGAAAGGACGTTTTTATGCTGTCTACAAGTAGTCACAGCAACGATCAGGAATACTGAGCATGCCCAGTATGGATGTGGGGTGACTCAGTACACTAATTTGTGATTGCTTCGCCTGAACCTTGAGAAATGGTCAGAACTGCTAGTGTTAACTTACAGCCCTGTGAGAATTGTTCAGGGTCACAGAGGGTGAGTGCAGTCCTTGGCTACACCTGGCTTCTGACTCCTGTCAGCACCAAAGACATGAGCCATGAGCAAGGGGGTGACACAGAGCTGTGACCCAGGTCCCAAAACCTCTGGCCTGGAGCATGCTCTCAGCCAGAGAGCATGGGGCCACCCCGGAAGCCTGCTTGGGCGTCTTGGTGACCCTGCTGTGGCCTGGATAGGTCCTGAAAGTTTACATTTTTAATAAATTCCCAAGGATGATGATTTCGGGTCCTGAGGTGCCAGACTCTGCCTCCAAACACAACTCACTGTCAGGGTTTACAGAAGCGGGAGACAGCTGCATACTCAGGTGTTCCTGCTGGAACGTGCACACTGTGGTCATTTCAGACTGGCGTGCTCCCGGGAGCACCCTCTCCTTGTTCCCTCTCTTCACAGTGCCTCTCTGGGAGTTCTGACGGGACCATTCGCCTGTGGTCCCTTGGCCAGCAGAGATGTATAGCAACATATCGAGTCCACGATGAAGGCGTCTGGGCTCTGCAAGTCAACGATGCCTTCACACATGTGTACTCTGGAGGGAGGGACAGGAAGATTTACTGCACAGACCTAAGAAACCCTGACATTCGGGTGCTGATTTGTGAAGAAAAAGCACCAGTCCTCAAGGTGTGTTGAGTTTTTGAGTTTCCCAACTGAAGGCATGAGCTTGGGTAGGCATGTGCAGCAGAGCCTATGCTGCACACTGACCTCCATCCTCGATACGGAGGAGTGAGTCACGGTATAGACCCTTGGCCAGTGAGGAGCAAGCTGTGATGGCTTTCCTACTGGTAAATCCGCGTCCCTGTGTCAGGCATGCTGCTGAGTCTGCCTGGCTCTCCTGTCCTGTCCTCAGGAAGAACGTAAGCAGACAGCAATGCCGAGAGGTCTGGATGATAAGGCCCAGCCCCTGCTTTGAGGGGAGGAGAGCCCCTGCTTCGGCACACTGCCTCCAAGCAGCCCTGCTGACGAGGCTCCCCAGGGTGGACAGGGGACATGATGTGGGTGGCACCCGATGGGCCAGCACTCGGGAAAGGGCAAGCATGGGAGAGACTGCCCTGTGGGCACACCGCTGCTTAGAGCTCTTGGCTTTGGAGAGCAGGCTGCAGAAGGCGACACAGGGTACCTACCCGATGAAGAGAGTCACCGAGAATTCCCGGTAGCTAAGAGTCGAGAAAGGTCTCCTCCACTCCAGCTGCAGTCTTCTGGCATAGGAAGAAGATTGCTTCCACTTGAGTACAAATGCACATGTTACACGGACATTGTGAGAGGTCGCGAGGGAGGGTGGGCGTGTGGTGATGTGACCCTGGGGAGCCTGCCCCTGGGTGTGCGCTCACTTCACACTTGGGTGGTGTGGGGATTTTGTTTTCTATAAACATTTTCAAAAATGGAAGAAATGTATCTGCCCTTTAAGAAAGGCTGTAAGGCAAGCATGGTGGCCGTTAAAGGCTAACTTTGAGGGCCTGGCAGGGATCTGGCACAATGTAAAAACTGCAATAGCAGAATCAAGAGTGTTGCTTTGTCCCCGAAAGTCCTCGTCCTTCTGACTGCATCTGCCTAGGTCCCGATAGTAACCCTAAATCTTGACCTGTCCACAGTGGCGCCTGTCTGTAATCCAGCTGTGGCGGGAGAGCCATGAGTGCAGACCAGCATGGCTGACTAAGGAGACTCTGAAAATGTAATTAGGTGTGTGTGTGTGTGTGTGTGTGTGTGTGTGTGTGTGTGTGTGTGTGTGCGTGCGTGCGTGCGCACGAGTGAGGCAGGTAGCTCACTGGTGTGAGGGGTACTCGCCTGCCATGTTACAAGACTGAATCTTTGGTGGAGACCCCGTTCCCTGTGAGTCCTAGCTCACTGCTACAAGCCTGTGCAGGCCGTGTGGAGTTGACAAAGGAGTTGGTACTCTCTGATGTATCACCAGGCTGATGCTCATCTCTGGGCTAACAGCTCAGAGGCATCAGCCCTTGTTAAAGAAGACTTTGTGTTGGTTTCAGATGGAGCTGGACAGATCAGCAGATCCCCCGCCTGCGATCTGGGTTGCAACGACAAAGTCCACGGTAAACAAGTGGGTAAGTGTGTGGCTGTGCCCGTGGCAAGTCTATAGACATGGTTGGTTTGTATCCCAGATGTGCCAGTTACCAGCAGCGGTGACTCAGTGTGGCCTTGTCCGCATGTCCCTGTGAGTTCAGGTATGATCCCTGAGAGTGACTCTGAAATTCATGGGTGAAATTAAGCTGCTTTTTCTGTGGGCATGTGCTTGATGTACTTAGAACAGCCTGATTACAGCTGTCAGGGTTAGACAGCGTTGGCCTTGTAAGCTGCACCTGAGGTTAGGCATTCGTGGTGGTGCACAGTTACAGCCCAGCACTTGGGAGACTGACAAATGGGAGTGCTGCACACTCGGGGCCAGCCTGGGCTCCACAGCAAAGCACTCTTCCAGTTAGACACACAAAGGGGTGAAGCACACACACCACATACCCATTTTTCTAAAGGTACTAGAGCGGGAGTTTGGCTTGTGACTCTTCCCTCTCCGTGGCATGGAGAGCCATGGTAGATAGAAGTCCATCAGGCTGCCAGGTCCTCCATGGCTCCAGCTCCTTAGGGATTTGAGCTTTGTGCATAGCTGACCGTTGGAGCTAGTGGAAAGGGCCTGTGTGCAGGTAGCTACGGAGCTTGTGTGTGCGCTCTTGTGCCCATCAGTGATGATCTCCGTTTAGTTACTGTTCTGTTGCTGTGATAAATACCAGGGCAACTAAACAACAGAAAGCTTTTAATTGGGGGCTGGCTTAATTTCAAGTTGTTTTAGTCCATGGTCCTTGTCTTAATTAGGGTTTGTATTGCTCTGAAGAGACACCATGCCCTCGGTGACTCTTAGAAGGAAAACATTTCACTGGAGTGGCTCCCTTACAGCTTCGGGGTTCAGTCTGTTACCGTATGGTAGGGAGTGTGATGACAGACAAGCCAGCAGGACATGGACTGTCACTCTGCATGGCTTGAGCATGTATGAACCTCAAAGCTCGCCTCCACAGTGACACACTCTTCCAGAAAGGCCATGCCTACTGCAGCAAAACCACATCTGCTAATAATGCCACTCCCTGTGAGTTTATGGGGGCCACAACCATCATGACGGAGTTCTTAATTGGTCTAGATAATAAAAAGCCGGAGTCAGATAGAGAGGGAGACGCTAAGATCAGAGAGAAGGAGCCACAGCCACAGCACACCTCACCTCCTAAGCTTCTCCGCAGAGAAAAGGGCGGTTTCCTGTTTGTCCCTGCTTATAGTCTGCTTCTGCCTGTCTACGTCACTTCCTGTCTGTACAGACCTCCAGACCTCTATGGTTGGCTTATGGCAAACTCCATTCTCTGACCCCCAGACAGGCTTTATTTGTATAAGCGAGATATTAGCACGCAGGCCGGTGTGGTCCATGTAGCTGAGAGATCACATCTGGTCTAGAAATTACAGATAGTGGCCCAGCACGGGCTTTTGAAACTGGAAGGCCATCCCCAGTGGCACTTCTACTCCAATAAGGCCACACTTCCTAATCCTTCTTAAACAGCTGCACTAACTGGGGACAAGCATTCAAACATACGAGCCTGTGGGGGCTGACTCATTCAAACCACCGCAGGGACCTTAGTTTTGTGTTGGGATTTTTGTTTTGTTTTAGATCTCTGAGTTTGAAGCCAGCCTGGTCTACAGAGTGAGTCCCAGGGCAGCCAGGGCCACACAGAGAAACCCTGTCTCCATAAAAAGGGCATTCCCTCGTGAATGTTTGCTGGATTTCTTGGTTTGACCCTATGGCTCCCTGCTGTGCCTGGGTGTGCTCTGATACAGCTGTGACAACTGAGCATTTCCTTGTTCTGTAACTGTCATTCTCATCGCCTGATTCAGCTTAACAAGCCTGGAGAGCATAAAGTGATGACATGATAATGTTGTTCCTTTAGACACTGAAGGGAATTCATAATTTCCGAGCCTCTGGTGATTATGACAACGACTGCACCAATCCCATAACGCCGCTCTGCACACAGCCTGACCAGGTCATTAAAGGTAAGAGGCCACAGGCGGCACACACTTGTGATGAGGTCAGTTAGTAAGAGAGTGGCGCGCTTTCTTTAGAAGCAGTGCTGCTAGACTTGGAAGACCCGTGACGTGGGTTTGTTACCGCACAGGGAAGTTATGGTAAGGAACTGGGAGGCTGTAAGGAGAGCTGTGATTTGGCAGTTTCATACATGTGCACCTGTCTCCTCTGTCTCCTCATCCTGCCCACTCCCAGATCATCTGTCTTCCCTGGACACCGCCTCAACATGCCCTCTCCCGTCTTCATACGTGATTTCTCAGTAACTTAACTAGGTCCCACCAGTGCCACCCATTTGCACAGGGGCTGCGATTCTGTTTGGATTTGTTTTTAGTAATGTATATTGTGGCGCAGATGATTCAGAGAATTCAGCCTCCCCTAGTGCCTTCCCCAGACTTCATGGTGGCGTTGTGTGTTTGGATCTGTCTGAGAACGGCGGTGTTCTCTGTGTCGGCCTTGTATTTGCCAGTGTCTTCCAGTATGATTTGCTGCAAACAGGACATGACACATTTTGCTTTCAGTATACTGTGTGTTTTGACACTATTCTCCTTTTTACCCTACAACACAATAGCCCTGTAAAATATCTTTAATCTTGTCTGGGGCACAGACCAGAGGTGTTCAGATGTGAGCCTCAAATTCTATGCTTTGGCTGACTAAGCCAAAACAAAAAACTATGTTTGATGTTAGCACTTAGGTTCTCCTCCCGAAGCTCTTTCTTCCCTCTAGAGTAGAAAGCTAGTCAGGCTAGTCAGGAGGTGTGAAGGCGAGGAAGGCGAGCAGCAGCCTCTATGCCACATTATGCCCATTATTCTTTTTTTCCTGTAGGGGGCGCTAGTATCATTCAGTGCCACATCCTTAATGATAAGAGGCATATATTAACCAAAGACACAAACAACAATGTGGCCTATTGGGACGTGTTGAAGGTAAGTGTCTCTTTGTACATGACAATGAAGACTTATTTGCAATAGTGCTTTATCTGGGGGCAGATACTTCAGACATAGGAAGATGTGGTAGTTCACTTTTTTTGAGCATCTAAACCATTTTCCTGGTTACTGTATTGGAAATTGTAGCCATTTCCCTGGTTACTGTATTGGAGATTGTAGCCATTTCCCTGGTTACTGTATTAGAGATTGTGTGGAAGGCTGCCTTGCTTTAAAAGTGTCCACCAGAGTTGTCATCCTTTGTGCTATTGACGTTTTAGGCTGGATAGTTCCTTAAGTGTAGGGAGAGCTGTTTGTCCTGCCCTTTCTTCCACAAAAGGGTCCCCTAGGAACTGTACAGATCAGAGAAGCCTTAGTTGCTCATCAGAAAAACAGATCTTCCCTGGTTGCCATACGTACCCCTGTGTGGTCCTAGGCCATGCTGCCCTGCCCTGACTATTTCCACAGTACCCAAGAGTCTTGTCAGGCCAGCATGTCTAAGGTTGAGCTAGTAGTTTCTTATGTGTGGCTCTGTGGCCCACTCTTGGGTCTGGTCAGCTGCTCTCAGAAGAACTCTATTGTCTGAATGGGATATAATTCTACGTGGTTGGAGCTCTGAGCTAGTGCTCGTGATTGTTACCTCTGTAAACAGCTTCCCATGCCCAGATAATGAACCTTGAAAGTTTTGAGGTCACATGATCTGGCTTATTAAACCCAAGAGGGTAAAGAAGTCAGGAAGCCTGGGGACGTGGAAGAATGGGCGGAGCTGTGTTCTGGGCTGGTGTCATTGACCAGTCACGTGACCTACTGGACTAACCTGAACCTATGGCTTCATCCCCAAAATGGCCGTCCCCCATTTCCTGGTGATGTCAGGGGCATATTTCATAACCATGCCACACGGGCTCCCACATAGATCTGCTACAGCGAGTGTGTGGGAAACGGTGGGTAGAAAGCGGAGAGTGGGAAGGAGAGACGATAGGAGGCCCCAGCTGTCAGGGGAAAGCGTGGGCAGACAGCTGTGCAGCCCACTGAGTAGGCTGGAAAGCAGGCCGGGCAGTGCGCACACCTTTAATCCCAGAGTCAGGAGGCAGAGGCAGGCGGATCTCTGAGTTCAAGTCCAGCCTGGTCTACAGAGTGAGTTCCAAGACAACCTAGGCTACACAGAGAAACCCTGTCTCCAAAAAAAAAAAAAAATCCATCAGCCCTCAGCATGGTGATTACAGGCAATGCCATGGGATTTGTCAAGACTTCCAAGAAATGTAGCCAAGAAGATAATAAACTGGGCCATCATTATTGTCAGGGACATTAGAAGGAAGCCACCAGTGTATGACAAGAATGGGTAAGAAAGCCAGAAGACAATGACAGCTCAAGGACAAAGGGGGTTTTCAGAAAGAAGCTGGGTTCATAGAAGATGCTTGAACGATGGGGGTGGCCTCTGGGGTGAGTCCTCTAGGCAGCAGCCAGTAGAGTGGGTTCAGTGTGCCTGCAGTGAAGGAAGGAGCATCACCTTTGAGTCCTTGGGCTGCAGGATGGGCAGGGAGAGAAGAGCTGGTTGGGAAAGCGTAGGAGCATGACAGCTAGGGGAGGCACTTCTTACTTTTGTTGTGGTGTGCGCGTGCGTGCGCGCGCATGTGTGTTCAGCTGTGTTCAGGGTGGGAGAATTTTAGCTTGTTTTAACCTCTCCTGGGGTCAATGAGGGCAGGCTACAGTTCGTTTCCAGCAAGGCAGTGGTGGCGCATACCTTTTTTTCCCCTTTCCTTTTTATTTTATTTTATTGGTGTACGCCATTAATCCCAGCACTCAGGAGGCAGAGGCAGGTGGATCTCTGAGTTTGAAGGCAGCCTGGTCTACAGAGTGAGTTCTAGAACAGCCAGGACTACACAGAGAAACCTTGACTTGGGGACAGGGTGGAGTCTAGGAAGGGAGGACCAGAGCACTGGAGAAGGACAAGGGTTTCTGTCCGGGCTTGCTCATGCCCTCAGTACTTCCACAGTGCCGGCTGAACCCAGGTCCTCACCAAGAGCAACGAGTATTCTTAGCCACTGAGCCCTCTCTCCAGCCCATTCATTTAAAATTGTACTAACAGGTAGTTATTCAAAGGCCTTAAGATAAAAGAATTGGCTCTCTGTTTCTTGTTTTTTTTTTTTTTTTTTTTTTTTTTTTTTTTTTTTTGGTGTTTCTAGACAGGGTTTCTCTGTAGCTTTGGAGCATTCCTGGAACTCACTCTGTAGACCAGGCTGGCCTTGAACTCACAGGTCTGCCTGTCTCTGCCTCCCAAGTGCTGGGATCAAAGGCATGCGACAGCACTGAGCGGCTGGCTGTCTTCTTGAGGTGTACTTTAGAGTTATGTAAACAGTTGTGAAGGAAGGGGTCAAGGGTCAAGCAGTGGTTGCCACTTCGTACTGACCATGATGCTTCTTTGTCTAGGCATGCAAGGTGGAGGACTTGGGCAAAGTGGACTTTGAAGAAGAAATAAAGAAAAGATTTAAAATGGTGTATGTTCCAAATTGGTTCTCAGTAGACCTAAAAACAGGGGTGAGTTAACAATATTTCTGTAATTTTGGATAATTGAAGATCCCTAACTATTCTTACAGAGTGATGTTTTTAATATGTGCAATTGCTTTTCCCCCATGTTAATAAACTGTCATTCAAGCCTTTGACACTTGAGTGAAGTGAGCCATAGCTGCACTGATTTCCCATGAAGCATGGCGTACTCCTTTAGTCTAGCATACGGGTTCATGCCGGGTCGGGTGCTGCAGAAGGGATTGGGTGGGTGAGAGCCACTGACATTGCTGCCCCTGACAGATGCTGACCATTACTCTGGATGAAAGTGACTGCTTTGCTGCCTGGGTCTCCGCGAAAGATGCTGGCTTCAGCAGTCCCGACGGGTCAGACCCAAAGTGTGAGTTGTGTCTTCTATTGAGAAGGTGGACCTAGGCAGGGCTGCTGGCTAATATCTCTGTAATTGCCCTCCCTTTGCTTGTGGTTTGGTTTGGTTTGGGTATTTTTTGAGGCCAGGTTTCACTGCATGTTCCTGGCTGTCCTGGAACTCTGCCTGTAGACCAGACTGGCCTTGAACTCACAGAGATCTGCCTGCCTCTGCTAAGCCAGGCATAGTGGCTCATGCCAGTAATCCCAGCACTTGGGAGACTGAGGCAGGAGAATTATCTGAGTCCCAGAGTAGCCTTAGCTACAGTGTAAAACCCTGACTCTATAACAAGGACAGAAGAGTGACTGCTGAGTGACAGTGTAGTCTCCTCCACGACCTGTCTGTGTCCATCTGGGTTAGGAGCTTCAGCGTGCGCATGCACCCCAGCTCAGTAGCACATGCCTGTCATCCCTGGACTTGAGAGAGAAGGTGAGGAGCCAAAGGCCAGGCTGACCTCACAGAAGAGAAAAGCAAATTTAATAGCAGCTCCGCCAGTGCCACTTCAGAAGCCACCAGACTTGTGTACGTAGCCATAGGCACAGCCGTGCAGCTCCGTCTTTGGGTGCCTCTAGCTGTCCTGGTCACAGCCTGCCCTGCGTGTAGTTCTGCTTCTCGAGCATCTCATCTGTCTTAGCTTAGAAATAAACTCTCCATGTTTCTCCTGTCAACTTGCAGTGAACTTAGGAGGACTTCTCCTCCAGGCTCTTCTGGAGTACTGGCCGAGAACACATGTGACTCCCATGGATGAAGAAGAGAATGACGTGAACCATGGTTAGTGTGTGTATGTTCAGAAAAGCAGGGATTGCTTGGAGCCAAAGTGTACTTAACCCCGTGAGCTGGCGTGTGCCGTGTGTCTTGTGCTGTGTCCAGTTTTCTCCTTTCTGCCCCTGAGTGAGAGTGTCCAGTGAACTGAGACCATTGTGGGATGGGGCTCTCACAGGGGAAGGAAACCCCATGTTTGATACGTGCCGTGTGGTGGTGGTGTACATTTTTAATCCCTACAAAAGGACAAAGCAGAAACATGACCAGCTACCTCTGTACAGGGACAGTTAAGACACCTGGTTTTTTGTTTTGGTTTGGTTTTTCAAGACTGCATTTCTCTGTGTAGTTTTGCCTGTTTGGAACTCAAACCATAGACCAGGCTGGCCTCCGATTTAGAGCTCTGCCTGCCTCTGCCTCCAGAGTCCTGAGATTAAAGGTGTGCACCACCACTGCCCAGCAAGACACCTGTTTATAAATAATGCTTCCCTCCCTTTCTCTAGTTTTGAGACGGGTCTCTTGTAGTCCAAGCTGTCTCACAATTGACATAGCTCCTCCCACCTCTATCTTCCAAGTGCTGGGATGACATGGTGCCGCTGTGATCAGTTTACAGGGGGGGGGCACATGTGTGCACTGAGCCAACTACATTTCCCTTGTATTAAACCCTCCAGAAGGGGCTGTGTCTCACAGTGGACAGCGTGCTTGGCCTCTAAGATCTTCTGAAATATACAGCCAGTATGAAATCTGAATTCTTGTTTTGGGGAGTTTAATGTTTATTCTTTTTTTTACCTTTATTACTTTTTAATATCTAAAAATATGCATGTATGTATGCCACATATGCATGTGAAGGCCAAACAGGGGCTGAACTCAGGTCCTCTGGAAGCGAGCCAGCTCTTCCCTGTGAGCCGTCTCTCCAGCTTCCTCCACATATTTTTCTAACAGGATTTTTACTTTAAATTTTTTTTAGATTTATTTTTAATTGGATGTGTGCCAGTGTTTTCCTGCTTGTATGTATGTGTTACATTTGTGTGCCTGGTGCCCATGGAGGCCAGAAGAGGTGTTGGGTCCCCTGGAACTAGAGTCACAGGTGGTTGTGAACCACTGTGTGGGTGCTGGGAACCGAACCTGGGTCCTCAGGACGAGCAGTCAGTGCTCTTGACCACTGAGCCCCCACTGCAGCCCCGGATTGTTATTTTAAAGTGTTGGGATATCTACTGTGTGCTGTGATGAGTATTGAGAAGCTGTGGTCTCCGCACTGACGGCCTGCCTGTCTTTTCTAGTGAGTGGGGAGCAGGAGAGCAGAGTCCAGAAGGGGAATGGGTATTTCCAGGTGCCCCCCCACACCCCTGTCATCTTTGGCGAAGCTGGAGGTCGCACACTGTTCAGGTATGGATGAGAAGGATGAGAAGGACAGGCTCTGCCTATAAAAGACCTTGCTTGACAGGCTGATCCTCTTGCTAGGAAGTTCTGGCTTAGACAGGAGCAGTGGTCTTTAACCTGAAAGAGTGTCTGGAATTGGCTTTTCTTGAGATAGTTAAATGCCTGGTGCAGTAAGTGCTGATATGGAGGGCCCCGCCCCGCCCCGCCCCTCAGCGCCTGCCTCCAAGCAGCATCTCTGGTGGTACTTTCTCTAGCTTTGCCAGTGTGACTGACTGCCAGGGGCAGAGGTGAGGTAGCATGACAGCGGTCCTACCCACAGGGGACCGGGCCAGGCAGGATGGGCTGGGCTACTTCTGGGAACCTGTGATCTGCACTGGCTCAACCTGGGCTGCTGGGAAATCCTCTCTGGGCCCTCCAGCAAAGGGAAGGTCTTTGTGGCTAACCCCCAGCTCCCAGCACAGCTGTCTGTGGTCAAGCTGGGCAAGTGTCACTAGGGTCACATAGTTGTCAGGCGTGAGGAGATGTCTGCCTTGCCCAAGTGTGACTCCTCCTCTTTCGAGGGCTCCTCATTGTGGGTGAAGTCCATGCCATGAACCATGCACCATGGCGCTGGCCGGGCCTCTGCTGAGCTCCTCCCATGGTGACTCAGGACTCAGCAGCTTCATCAGGGCCTGGGTCTCCCTGCTCCGCTGTCCTCAGTGAGCATTGTGAGGGCTCCTCCTGATGTCCCCTTGCCTGTCATGACACTGACTACCTGATGGATTGTGTCTAGGCTGCTCTGCCGGGATTCCGGGGGTGAGACTGAGGCGATGCTTCTCAATGAGACAGTACCACAATGGGTGATTGACATCACTGTGGATGTAAGTGTCCTCCACTCCCGCTTTGCCAGTTTACTTTTCCCAGATGGTGACATTAAGGACTGTTTTAGACAGCAGTCTGAAACTGTAACAAAAGCCGCCTGCCAGGTGCAGCCCTCTGCTTTCCTGAAGTCCCCAAGTTGCAGATGCATCTGATAGTGTTTACATGTCAAGTTTTACTTTCGGGTTTCTGTCACAACGATAATATATGCATATTCTATATGACAAGTGGTGCTTGGAGTGAAGTGCCCACCTCTCAGCATCCGTCCTCCTACCCTTTCACCCTGCCCCTCCTCCCCGAGGGAGCACTGTCAAAGACGGGTGCGGTCTCTGCTTTCTTCACCTCCACAGCACACGCTGACTTACGTGTAAGCGTAGCTCATTTTGTTTTGCACAAAATCACTTACAGTGTTCTGCAACTTGTTTTACTTGAAACTCTGCCTGAACGTATGGACTGTTCCCTTTAAGTGACTGTGTGTAAAGGGAGCAGTCTTTACTTGATCAGCCCCTCCCTTATTGATGGACTGTTGTTCCCAATGTTTTCTATTGCAAACGGTGCTGCAGTGAACGCCCTTGTACATGTATCTTTGTGTACTTTTTAGGATAAATTCCTAGAAGTGGAATTGCTGGATCAAAGGGTATGCACATTTTAAATTTTGATAGATAATGCCAAATTGCCCTTCACAAAGGCAATTTTTTTCTGAACCAACAGTGTATGAATGTCCAATTCCCACAGCCACACCAACACCGGACACTTCACTTTTGTGTACAGTAGGCAGATTCTGTCTGATGACTTTGATGTGAATTTTTCTTTATTCATGGTGAGGTTAAGAGTCTTTTCATATTGGCCATTTGTGTCTCTCCATGACCTGTCTGTCTGTGTTCTATGCATTCCTCTAATTGGGTCGTTGGTCTTAGAGACGCGTAGGTGATGTAGGTGATCTTCTGCTGCATATTAACCTGCCTCCTCTGTGCCCTCATTAAACTTTTACTTCGTGGAAGGTTCTTTCCCTGATGGAAACTTAGTTTCTGTATAATCACACTGATGTGTCATGGCTCTGAGTGTTTGTGAGGTGAAACCTAACCCAGAATGGGGTGGGGCGGGCCCTTGTTTGAGCTCTCGACACCTTTTCGCCTTCCTGTCCTGCTCTTTAATCGCTGTTACTTCGTCTCTGTTTGCTGTGAGGTGAGACTCTAACTTTTCCAGAGAAGCAAGCAGTCTGTGGGGTCTGTCCGTCCCTACTAACCTGAAATGCTGCTTTTATTGTGCACTAAATCCCTGTGGAGGCTGGGTCAGGCCGTCTCTGTCCAGACTTTATGTCCTCTTGACTGTTTTGTATATCCTAAAGCCATATGAAAGGGGAATTAATCTCTTAAAACTTTAGAAAACTTGTTTTCTGCCCCAGATACACTACCCCAAGGACTTAGAGCCAGTGTGACACCTGGCATGTATTCTGTGGCCTTCGCTGTCCAAGCTTCCCATAAACTGCCACTTCTGTGAAGTGGACAACTGGCCTGGGCGCATTACTGGCCCTGAGGCATGGCTTCTGTCCTGAGAAAGCTGACCACATGACGGCAGCCAGCATTGGAGAATGGAGATTTTCTTCATGGTAGACCTCTCTGTCAGAGGGAGGCAGGAGGAGAGACTCAGCTTCTCTCAAGACACTTAAGCCTCTGCTTGGGCCTTTAGTCATCAGCTGCAATATTTTGGTTCATACAGTTTAAAATTGTAGGCTTGTTTTCCTGTAATGCCTTGTATAATAATTTCAGAAACGCTATGCCACAAAGACTATTTTTGGCACTAAATATTATATATAATTTGTCTTCATCTATTTTTATTACAAACTAAATACCATACTTGCTGATAAATTTTCTCTTAAGGCACACCAGTTGATAACTTACTGTAAATTACATTAAAAGTCATTTGATTATAAAAGTAGTTATTTGTAAATCATGTTTTCCTGTTGACAGCATTTTAGTTTTATCAGATAATAGAAACTATTATACCTCTTAAACTTTTAATATTTCAGAAAAATATGCCCAAATTCAACAAAATTCCTTTCTACCTCCAACCTCATGCATCTTCAGGAGCAAAAACTTTAAAAAAGTAAGTAATTATTGCACTTTCTTATTCCTGCCACTGCAGACACCTCTGTCCTTATGGTCACTGTGATAAGGGAAGACAGGTACTAGGTCGGAGGCTGGTTATTATAGAGCTTGTCTCCTTTAGCTTAGCCGTAATTGCTGACTCATGCCTTTGGAGCCTCACTCGGAGGCAGACGCAGGAAAGAGGCCAGCCTGGGCAATAGAGTGAGTTCCAGGAAAGAGGCCAGCCTGGGCAATAGAGTGAGTTCCAGGCCAGCTGAGCCGCCATAGCAAGACCAAGTAAGCCATGTGTGGTGGCACACCTGTAATCCCAGTTGTTAGCGGGTGGGCACAGGAGGGTGAGTTCCAGGCTATGTGAGACCCTGTCTCTAACCATACAGTTCCATTTAGGGCAAGAGCTGCCCCAGACAGACCTTAGGAGTAAAGAGAATGGGGTAATCGGCTTGTGAGCACAGCTTCCTGGGGCCTCGGGAAGGAGGGGTCACCTAAACACGGACGGATGGTGGACCGCCCAAAAACATACTTCCCCAGCAGGAACAGGCTCAGGATACCAGAAACGGGTGTGAGGACGCATGTTCTCACACATAAGGTAGAGTAGGAAGACATGACGAGACTGAATTGGAATACTAGGTCACTGTGACATGCCGCCAGAAATTCCTGATAGGTAGACGAGGCTCCAAGAGAGGCTAATGGCAGAGAAGTTGAGACCAGCAAGGAAATCTGAACCATGATCAGTATGTATGCGCTCTCTAGTGAGACCAGCAGGACTGTTAAACTCACCGGGGTTCCTGAGCTCACAGAGGGACCAGCTCCCTGGCAGTCAGACACTTCAGGGGTGACCACGAGGCCAAATGTTGTGTCCATCTGCCTGCCCACTGCTCCCCTCCACGTGCACACACTGGACCACTTTATAGCAAGCCGTAGGCATCACTTGGAGTAGATTTAGTGACCGAACCTCAGGGTTCCTGACGAGTTTAAATAAACTGTAGCTGTGAGGTTTGATGATGGTTGACTGATAGCAGAGATGAGGGCTTGGAAGAAAGGGACTGGAGTTGTGAATTTAGGACAGGCCAGGTGCTGGATTTGTGGTCTGGGGCAGCCTGTGGTTTAATGTCTAGCCTGGGGTGGTCATTCTCTGCTCTAGTTGAAGACACAGCCGTGGGAAGTAACCCTGAGCCCTGGGCAGTTAACTGGTGGGTCGGCCAGGGTCTGTCCTCGCTTCAGGCAAACCCTGGAAAGAATAAAATGCAGGTAGCTATTGTGTGTACGTGAGCCCTAGAAGGGCTCTCAAATGGATCCAGTGACTGAAAAGATGTATTGGTTTCAGATCTGTGCTACATGTATCTTTACACGTTGATACATAAAATTAACAGGCTTCATAATGTCACACATGTCATTGTCTTTTCCAGAGACAGACTCTCTGCCAGTGACATGCTACAGGTCCGGAAGGTGATGGAGCATGTCTACGAGAAGATTATCAACCTGGATAATGAGTCTCAAGCCACCAGCTCTTCTAATAACGAAAAGCCCGAGCAGGAAAAGGAGGAGGATATTGCTGTGTTGGCAGAGGAGAAAATTGAACTTCTGTGCCAGGACCAGGTGAGTGGACCCGAGGAGCCGTCGCTTCATCTCCCTGCAGTAACGGTCATGTGTGTTCAGGTCGGCCTTCAGAGGCTCTCAGGAGCCCAGTCCGCATGGCACTGAAGCTCCTCTTCACCTGAGGGAGGCGCTCAGGAGGAGGACGCAGACTTAGATGCTCACAGCAGGGCCGTGCCTGGCTCACAGGGGCAAGGTGATGTTGGTGTGCAGGGTAGCATCTGTCATGTCAAGGGTTTGGAGAGGGGGTGGGTGGAGAAGAGATGGAGTTACAACCATGTGTGGAAGCGAGACCAGGCCCCGAGGCAGTGAGAGCAGCTGGGCCACCTGGCGGGTCCCTGGTTAAGCTGTGAGTGACCTTGATGTTTCCAATGCGCTTTGGCCGTTCAGGTTTTGGACCCAAATATGGACCTACGAACAGTAAAGCACTTCGTGTGGAAGAGCGGCGGGGACCTCACGCTCCATTACCGGCAGAAGTCCACGTGAAGGGCCGTCTCCTGGGTTATTCGTCAGCCTTCCTATGTGGCCCCGAGTAGTCCTAAGAAGCCCACCAAGCTCTACTGGGAGCAGGACCTCCAGCGGCCGATTGGTGAAGTGACCAATCGAGATGTAATATAGAACCAGGCTCCATGCATAGATTAAGGTGTCCCCAGGGACTCAGTGCAAGGAGCGCAGAGCCCCAGGCAGCCCTTGGAGGAACAGGCCATGCAGACTTTGCTGACTCCTTTTGAAGGACCCACCTTCGTCTCTTAGCACTTGTTAGAGGATCAGAGGGGCCACATCTGTCACCACCCACGAGTTCTGCAGCTTTTCTGAGTGCATTCCACTCGTGCAGTACCTATGAAGGCTTTTTCCAAATTTGTTTTCATCATCATGTAAGAGTTGTTTTAATGGGAATCATCACTGTTGCACAATTCAAGACCAGCCCATTTCATGAGAAACGACCATGCCAGGCTACTTGTGAAATACCGAGTCTCAGCTCTGCTCTGTAGGAAGACCTTCTGCCTGCCACTCCAGGGCGAGGGAGGGCACCCACCTGAGTTGTGAAGCACTGTCCCATAGTAACCTGGCCACCGCACCACAGCCTGAAGAGCTGTGACCACTCGCTTCCTCCAGCACCCGGCCTTCCTTACAGGCAGCGTCAGCGGAAGCACAGCCTCGCACCCTGGCTGAACAGCATGATGCTGTCCAAACTTAACAACCATGCTGAAGCTTCAATTTCATTCAGATGCTACCTAAATTTTATGTTGTTAGAGTAAAAGGATTTCACAGTGAGTTGGTTTGATATTTATATTGTGGTCCATGTTTGTTTTTCCAGCTTTTTATATGCGGGCTTTTGTTGTACCTGCGTCCAGATCTTTCCTCTGTCTTTCTAACAATCAAAAGCTTTCATAGACTCAACTTGGATCTTGTACAGAATATTAACTTATTGGGGATAAACACTTCATCTTTGGCAGAAAACACTTTGGATTCTTCCCAAGGTCATTGCCCTTCAGATAGATCAGGGTTCCCCTGAGACGACAAGCCTTGAACAAAGCCAGAAGCACAAGTGCCTTCAGGGGCAGTTTATTCCAGTCCAGTCGCCTCCCACCCTGTGTGGCTGTCCCCACAGGACCAGGGACTGGGAGGGCTTGCTTTTCTACGTCTTCACAGGTTCTGCTGGGGGCAGCTGATGGGTCCAGGTCCGTCCCTTACAAAATGAGGCGTCGATCCGCACAACCGCAGAACAGGCCCCCCTCACTGCTAACTGTGGGGCACAGACATGCCATGGCTTCCACGAGTGAGCAAAGACATTTCCCAGGGTTAAAATTTCTCCCTCCCACAGAGCAACTGGCGGCTTTTTTTTTTTTTTTTTTTAACAGAAGTCCTTTTTACCTGTCTGTGTCGGACACAACAGTGCACTTTTGGTGCATATTTTTAGTGATAGCGTGGGGTGGGGTGGGGCCCCCAGCAGTGTTTGCAGGAGGGGCCTCTGCGTTTGCACTAAGGTTTGGTGGCTGGCGGCCCAGTGCTGAGCACAGGCAGCCATGCCCTGTGGTGGATTTAACCCCTGCATGGTTTTACCTTTTCCCCTTGTCAATCAGTAATGAGTTCCAGAAAATTGGAAGTGCAATGCCAAGAGGGCCAGAGTCTGTATTTCAAGTTGTATAGAATAAAGCTTTAGTTAAAATATTTCAGTGTGTCTTACACATTTATTTTTTTTTTTTTTCAGCTGTCATTTTCCTTCACCAGATAACAGGGAAAAACATCTGGGGTTCCTATTTGAAACAGCATCAGCGTCCATCTTAACCTACTTACGGGCGGGGGGGGGGGGGGGTCTCCAGGAACAGAACCTTCCAATTAGGGCAGCCAGCCAGGGGTCAGAATGCCTAGCTACAGAGCTCAGGTGAGCTGGCCCCAGAGAGCCTTGTGGCCACTTTGTTGTATCCCACACTCGTCACTCACCACAGGCCCTGGGCTGACTCATCGGCCTGACTATAAATGTATTCCTAGTGCTGGGGCTTAGTGTTTGTGCATCAGGGACCTGGCCCGCTGTATCGTTTGGCCTGTGCTTCCTAGAACAAAGTCCTTGGCCTAACAGCCTAAATGCCGTTACATGCGGTCTGTGGAAGGGACTAGAAACCAAGGCCAAAGGCAGCCTATAGCGATTATGCAGGAGATTGGTGCCATCTGTGGAAAGCCAGCAGACTGGACAACCTCTCCTAGCCTTGGCCTCTAAATAAAGGCACCCAGAGTTCTAGAGACAGTGTCCCTCAACTAAAGATGGACAGGAGGGGTAGGGCCAGAGCCAAGAGGTAGACAGGTAGAGGGACTTTGATGGTGAGAATAAGTCTACACCTATTCACCATCAGTTCACCATCAGACCTGGCTGGAAGCCTTGTTGTCTATGTGGAGCCTTGCGGGGGGGGGGGGGGGGGGGGGATTGAGGTCACGGGATATTACAGCAACTGTGTTGACTCCCCACTCCCGACATATGACTAGCACGGGTGGATCCCTGTGAAGGGCCTAGAATTTTCCAACTCCTCCAGCATAAGAAGTCAATGGGAGGAGTCCGGGACTTGGGGGTCCTCCTCGGTACAGGTGGGGCCACTGGCAGCCTCTCTTGTCCCTCACCGCATCTTCACACTCAGCCGTGATCAGACCCTGCAGCCTCTGCCTACCCAGGCGGCTTCAGTGCCTCACTGAGGCAGCCTAGATGCCACCTGTCTCAGCAGAAGCTGGGATGTTGCTCCCAGCTTTCCTACCCCTTCAGTCCAGGACCATGTACTGGGGTGAAGGCTGGACCCTGCCTCAGAAACTGCAGCCTACAGAGCTACACGCACAAGCTGAGCAACACCAAGGTCCCCAGGAGTCTTCTCAGAGCCCAGGCTGTGGCTCCGCGGTGACCTGAGTTTGACTGGCTGGCCCCTCCGTCTCTGTGTCTGCTGGCTCCTCAATCTGGGCTTCCAGCAGCACTGCAGACAACCCATCTTCTGGTGAGGATGCGGAGGTAAGGCCGTCAGGGAGGGTCAGCTGGGGCAGGTAGTCCGCCTGGGCACCCGGACTGTCTGGGAAGGAGATCTCAAACTCTGACCCTGACCACGTGGCCTCACCTGAAATGTAAGGTAGGGTTGAGGAGACAATCCTCAGCAATCACTCCCCTGCAGCCAGGCTTTTGTGGAGGGTTACGAGTCAAGCACGTGAACAACCTCAGCCCACCTTCGGCTCTCAGGGCAGCCCTCTGTAAAGCCAGGGTTTCTCAGGGGTACCACAAGGTCACTCACCACCCCGCTCATGAGAACTGCTGCTGGAACCAATGTCCTCTGGTCCTAAGACTGAGAGGGCTGAGGAGGTCAGCACTGTGGAGGGCGACAGGCTGGGGCACACACTGGTATTGCTGCTGTCCAGGAGAGACCTACTTGACACATCCAGGAAGCCTGGGGAGAGAGACCAGGCCGTTCTTTCCTCGCATAAGACTGCGGGGGTGCTGGGAGCCTGTGGCCCTTGCCACGTTCCCAAAGCACCTAACTCGCCCTCGGCCTCTCCTGACTAGGCGACAGAGGGTAGCAGACGAGGAAAGCTGGGTACGGCTGCACAAGCCGGACCCTGATGAGCCTGCAGCCCACTCCCGCAGTCTCCCCGGGGCCTGCCCCATACCTGGGTCCATGACCCGCTGTACTGGGGGTGGAGGCTGAAGAGGGACCTCCATGGAACGTGTGCATCCCCCACAGTCAGCAGCACCGTGGCTAGGGCTCCCAGACCCTAGGAGCTGTGCCTCCACGAAGCCTCCGGGGACCTGTGGCAGCGCCTAGAGATGCCAGGGAAGAAGAAACGGGTCAGGACAGTGCCGATAAAGATCCAGTATAGAAACAGCCCAGCCCGGCACTGTGAACATGCCGCCCTTCCTTTCTATGAGGGATGGGGTCAGGCTAGACAGCAGCGGACACACTGAGGGGAGGGGGCTTCCTGACACTCCCAGGCATTTCCAGGTAGCTACAAACATTACCCCTAGCCGTCCTTGAACCCAGGTGCACAAGGGGACTAACATGTCCACCCCCGGCCTGGTCCCTGACCTCACTGCAGCACAAGGTTCTGCCCATTCATTTCTAAGTCTCAGTTTTCCACTCACAGAATTACCCAGTGCCTCGCCTCCACTCCCAAGGGCAGTAGAGCCAGAGGCGTGTTTTACTACACCCAAGCAGAGGCTCCTCTGCTTCTACTGCATAAAGACGCAGGTAGATAAGCCTCCTACAGGCAGGAGTCTCACAGGCCCATGGGAGGGCTTCTTGGGTCCCTAGACAGCCGCCAGCTGGCATACCCACTGTCCCAGACACTCTCTTCCCTGGCCTGGCAGGTGCTCCCCACATACCTCTATGCAGTCACCGAGCCTGGAACCCAACTGTGGGCCAGGAGAACCCTGAAGGACAGGCCACGGGGGTGGGGCGCCACGAGGCAAGGCACTAAGTTGTGGAGTATTCGCTGGAGGAGTGCCAGATGGTGAGGTCCCAGCTGGCTTCTTGTAGTGGCTGGAGGGCTGCGTTGGGATCCGGTGTAGATACCCATAACCAATACCACACCCCAGACTGTGGAAGGCCAGAAACGCTCCATCAGGGCAGTCCACGACACAGCCCACCCTACCCAAACCACCCACAACCATGACTGAGCAAGGGCATTCATTCCTGGGCAGGGTGAACCTCAGGTCTCTGGGGAAGATGCCAGCAGCCCAAGCCCCCGGGGCCAGCCTACCCATCTAGGCGTGGGACCCCAGGCAGTACCTGCCCTCTCCACCCCAAGCTGCGTTGGGGGTTACAGTCACCTCCCGGCAGGAGTCAGACTCAGAATTATACACCATCAGCTTCAAGGGCTTCCCTTCATGGGACTGAAGGAGTGTGTAGAAGTCTTCAGACTAGGAGAGACACGGGGTCTGAGAGAAGCCTCAAACGAGGCACCTATGCACAACACATCTGTCCACACCCCTTGGGGGGGGGGGCTGGAGACGAACCACGGGTTCCTTACCTCCTGGAGAATCTGGTCAGAGCCAACTACATAGTCCGTGTAGGGGCAGAGGCCAGCCAAGGCAGCAGGTGAAGCGGGCTCCACGTCCTGGAGAAAGCATGACAAACTCTCTTAAGACTCACTGCTGAGCAGAGTGGAGAGGCAAGGGGGTGTCTCTCTAGAGAGGACACTTGCCCTCTGCTGCCAAGCAGAGCCTCAAGCGAGACTTCCTCCTTCAAAGGGCCCAATTTTCTCCCTCCCCAGGTTCACAGCCTCGCCAGCAGAGGGCAGCAGCTGCACGCAGTCCAGACTCTGACCCCAGGCTCCAGCCCAGCCCCAGCCCCAGCCAGCAAGCCTGGGAAAGCACAACTGACCCTCTAGGGCTTCACTGTGCCCAACACTTTGCAGGCAAAGAGAGGCAAGTGGATCTCTCTGAGTTCTAGGCTAGCCTGCTCTACCTAAACAGTTCCAGGCCAGCCACAGCTATACAGTGGGACCCTGTTCCAAAAATCGAAAAAGAAAACCAGCGGCTGGGAAGGTGGTTTGTGGGTGAAGCGTTCCCAGCAGTCTTGAGGAAGCCAGGAGAGCAAGGGGTTAAGTTAGGGACCCTGTCTCAATAAGGTCTAGAGTGAGAGAGAGGACACCAGTGTTAACACCTGGCTGCCACACTTGCACACACACACACACACACACACACACACACACAAACACAGAGCAGGGAAAGGCACTTGCCACAAAGCTGACAACCGGAGCATGTATCCACACGCACACACAAATGAGCATGTAGAGCATGTATCCCCACACACATGCACCCACGCGCACACACATACTGGTTTTTTTTTTTTTAGGACTTTTTAGGATTGGCTTGCTGCTGCAGCCCCGCTGACCCTGAGAAGTCCGCCAATCATCCCGCACTGGCAAGATGCCCATATATACAAAACAAACTTTAAGGGAGGATCTCTGTGGGTTCGAGACCAGCCTGGTCTACAAGAGCGAGTTCCAGGACAGGCTCCAAAGCCACAGAGAAACCCTATCTTGGGGGAAAAAAAAAAAAAGTTTAAAAGAAAGGAACGAACTACGGTGTGAAACTAAGAATGCCCTCAAGTTGCCAGTGTGGTGGTGCACACTGAGCCCCGGTACTCGGGAGACAGACAGATCCTGGGCTGGTGGATCTCTGCAGGGTTGTGGCCAGCCTAGTCTACACATTCAAGGCCAATGAGGGCTACACACAGCGAGACCCTGTCCTGAAACAACAAAATGAAACAATAAGGTCACGCAGCCGACAAAGGCAATAATCAGCTGTCCTCTGAAGACTGGGACAAAGCCAGATCCCACGCACAGCGCTGCCCTCTGCTCCCTGCCCCACCCCAGTCCCGCCACACCCCCCGCCCGCCACACCCCACGGGCACTCACCAGCACATGCCACACGTGCTCGCTGGCCCTGCGGAAGCTGCAGAAGCGCACACTGGCTCCCAGCAGGCCCTGGCCACCCCACATGTTGCTGGGCACCACCTCCACCTCTCGAACCTTCATGGTCTTCATGCTGAACACCTCCAGCTTCACTGGCTTCTCCACATTGGCCTTCAGCAGAGCCTTCAGCGTGTCATTCTCCTTGTTCTGCGTGGGCCAGGAGGGCTGGCTCAGGCTGAGGCCTCCCGCCCCCCCCCCCGGGGCCAGAACCCTCCGCCCTGGGCCAGAACCCTCCGACAGGCCAGGGCCTGAGAGGCATCGAGGGCCTGCTATGAGGACAAGCTGGGGACAACAGCTGGGCCTGGCTCTGCGCGCGGCTAGGTTTGGGCCTGCAGCCACTGATGTCACAAGTGCCACGACCCAGCTCCAGGCACCCCAAGCCCTGGTCCCTAACCCTGCCGGAAAAGCTTAACAAAGCAAGAAAAAGGCCTGTTAGGCCCATCTCCAAAGGCCTCACGTGCCTTGGACACACAGCCCTCTTGGGCCTGGTGGTCACCTCCAGAAGCCCCTCTGGCCCTGCTACACCCAGGAAGAAAAGGGAAAAGCAGGCCGGGCGTCCCGGGGGGACAGGGCAAGTGGGGAACCTCACCAGCCTCGAGTGCCCGATGGTGATGATGAAGTCGAAGTAGGGTTCCAGGCCTGCCTGCTGGGCCGGCGAGTTCTCCTGCACCTGCCACAGGTCAGAGGCAAGTCATGATGGCTCAGACCTGACTCACACAGGCTCGAGAAGCCCTGCACCGGTGGAAAGGGCTCACGCCTGCACAAACTGCTCTGGCCCCCACCGAGGTTCACCTCAGCTCCCACGCACTACCTTCTCAGGCAGTTTCCTGTGAGGAAAATTACTTTTCCTGACTGTGATACACAGATGCTTCCACAGAGGGCTCACACAGTAAGGGACGCCCGGGGTATACTGCTCCCCCCCCCACCCCAATCCTGACTGGGCCAGGAGGCCAGAGGGATTGGCCAGAAAAGCCCAGGCATGCAGGAGTAATGCAGCCAGGCCTAGCCCCGGTCCGGCAGGATGGTAAAGGAAAACAGATCCCAGGCCTCTACACCAGTTCAACTACACCCAGACACGCAGTTCTGCTCTGGGTGCTCCCCGCCCCTCTCAAGCTGTACCCGATGCATCCCAGGCCCCGGCTGAAGTTCCTTGCTCAAACAATGCAGCCTCTGTCCCCAGTGCACAGGGCTCATGTGAGCTGGGATCCTTGGTGCCTCCGTTGGATTTCCCCCAGGATGAAGCACGCCTTCGGGAGTGTTGAAGGCGCCCCCAGTTCAAGAACAGTCTGGTCCTGGTGCCACAACTCTGCCCTAACAGCAGGGCCAGCTGAGTCCCTGAGGAACGCCTCCTGGAGCGGCCACAGCCGTCAATGGAGGTGGGCCCATGTTGGTCGCTGGTTCATCCCCAAAGGCAAGCTATTCCTGGCCTGTTTGGGGACTTCAAGTCCTGCTCCACCCCTCTGGGAGCCCCACTTCAGGGCCTCTGAGGCCTGCTCTCTGTCCCTCTTAGGCCAGTGGGTCTCAACCTTCCCAATGCTGTGAGCCTTTAACACGGTTCCTCATGATGTGGTGGCCCCCAACCATAGAATTATTTCCATGGCTATTCCATAATGGTAGTTTTGCTACTGCAATGAATCATAATGTAAATTATCTGTTGTCTGACGGTCTTAGGTGACCCCTGTGAAAGGGTCATCAACCCCGTTAAGGGACACGACCCACAGGCTGTGAACCAGTGCTCTAGAGGCTTTTGAAGACCACAAGACTAGAATGTCTTAGAGGGCTGGAGGTCCTCCCGAAGCAGGGCCACTTCCAAACCTCTGCAACTCCCTTGGGGAAGGCTGCTCTGCTCCTAAGAGGAAGTACTGCCCTCCTTCACCTGCAGCCAGCGACCATGGTTAATGAGGTCTGGAGGCCCTGGCCCCCCGGCCCCTGCCTGTGGGTCTGTCCTCTACACTGCCCACTAGAGCTCTTTGTACTACTGCCCACCGAACCTTGTTCCTGTAAAACCCGCTGGCCTTCCACCCCACTCTCCCTGACGCCTCCCAACACACCCACACCCCCACAGCCCGCAGCATACCGCATGCTCAGCTTTTCCTAACCCACACCTTACTTCCCAACCAAGGACCCTGGGCATTGAGCTGGGACAGACTCTAGGCAGGGGCTGGGTGCCAAGCACCCCAGAAGCTAATGCCTCCCAGGCTTTAAGCAGTCTGTAGGACGTTTCACTGTTCCAATTTATAAAGGAGCTCTGTAACTTAGCCCTCTGAGCCTAGAAAATGTTCTCTGTGGCACACTCCTAAGTGTTGAGGTCAAGAGCATCGCCACTGTGCCTGGGAAGACTGGGAACGCCAAAAATTCAGGCCAGTCAGCTCCCTTGTTCTTCAGCTCTTAAAAATATAAGTAAATGGCAGCTGGGCAATGGTGGCCTTTAATCCCACCACGTAGGAGGCAGAAGTAGAGGCAGGTGGATCTCTGAGTTCAAGGCCAGCCTGGTCTACAGAGTGAGTTCGAGGACAGCCAGGATTACACAGAAAAACCCTGTCTCGAAAAAGCAAAACCATATTAGCTGGGCGGTGGCAGCACACCCTTTAATCCCAGCACTCGGGAGGCAGAGGCAGGCGGATCTCTGTGAGTTCAAGGCCAGCCTGATCTACAAGAGTTCCAGGACAAAAAAGAAAAAGCAAAACCAAAATAAACCAAAGTATGAGTTGGGGGAGGGGACTGGTGAGATGGCTCAGCAGGTGAAGACATGTGATGCTAAACCTGCAACCTATGTAGTCAACAAAGAACCAATTCCACTGACCTCTACATATACACGCCAGTTCATACACGCATAGGGTCACACACAAATATACGTGTAAAAAGCCCTTTAAAAATTGTGCGTAGATGACGTCAACCCTCCACTTACAATCTCCTGATAGGAGCTGGAGGGTTGGCTCAGTGGTCAAGAGCACTTGCTGCTCTTGTAGAGGACCAGCACCAGCAGGGTGGTTCACCACCATCCATGACTCCAATTCCAGGACACCTAACACCACCCCCATCTGGCCTCTGCGGCTACCAGGCACAACATTCTTACACAAAAATCCTCCAGAGAGTTCCATATCTCTAAATACAATATCAAGTCTCAGGACCTGGGGGATGTAGCTCAGCACCATCCCCAGCACCCACGAGGCCCGGGGTGGATCCACACTGCCAAACAAAAACTCTCCTCTCCAAGTTGTCTTCGGTACAACAGGGAAGGCCCTGCACGACCATCTCCAGTGGCCGCCACACCACCCTGCCCACCAGATGCTGGCTTCACTTGCAAGAACCCCTTAGGCAAATACGGTTTAAAACACTCCTGGCGGGATGCATTCACGTGTCTGCCAATCCCCCAGACACAAATCTTGTCCCTTCTAATCTGTGAAGCCAACGTGGCTTTCCTGCCAGGACCCACTTCTTAGCCCTGATGACGGTGGCTCAGGAAGCAGAGGCTGATGGATGGATCTCTGTGGGTCCTATCCAAGCCAGCCTGGTTTCCGAGGGGGAAGAGGGGAAGAGCAGGGTTCAAAGCCCTTCCTATCCCCAACCCCAAGTTCCCCCATCTTTTATCACCCAGGCTATCTATCTCTACTTCCCAGAAGCCTGTTCGCTCGCACCTCCCTGCAAGTGACACGTAAGGCCTCACCCAAGTCTCGGGGTGCTTCACTGTGGGGTCCCAGCTCCCACCCTGGCTCGTCATTCCGGTCATCTCAGCCCCCTGCAGGCTTGCCGAAGCCCTCGAGCTCCTCCAGCCCCTTGCACTGCGCCTCACTGAAGGTCCCGGGTCCTGGGCGCGCTGAGCCTCAAGCTGGCAGGGAGCTCACCGCGGGCCCCCGAGCTGTGCAAGCCTCCCCGATGCCCGCCCGCCGGCCCCGGCCCAGCCGCTCACCCCGTGCAGGTGGAAGCCCTCGCCGCCCGCCGGCTGCTCCGAGCTTGCTCCTAGCCCCATGGCCGTCCTCTCCCTCCGCTGCGTGGCTTGATCACGTGGAGGAGCCAGGTCACGCCCTCCCGGATGTCAGCTCTTAGCAACGGGCCGGCTGCCAGGTTGCCAGGGACGCGCGAGCCTCGGACTTCCGGCCGTGAGCCGGGCCGCGCGTTGGGCAGCCAGAGCTGGGCATCCCGCTCAGCCGGGCATCACCGGAGCCCGGGCTGCAGCGATGAGCAGCGATGACTCCTCCCTCATGGTGCGTGAGCTGAGCGCTGGGCCGCCTGCTCTCTCTCTCTCTCTCTCTCTCTCTCTCTCTCTCTCTCTCTCTCTCTCTCTCTCTCTCTCTCTCTCTCTCTCTCTCTCTCTTCTGGCCCTTGGGCCACCTCCGCCTGACTACCCACGCTGCTACCTTCAGGCCATCTCTACTCTCGGGACAGCGACACTACCACCCCTAACCACCTCTACCCTTAGAATAAATACATTTCAGGTGACTGGGGATGTAGCTAGAGTATGCACCGAGCCCCAGCTTTGATCTCTTGCGCCATTTAAAACGGGTCTGATAGTACATGCTTGTAAACCCTGCACTTGAGAGGGATGTAGGTTCGGGACTTCAGTGTCACCCACAGCTATGTAGTGGAGTTTGAGGCCAATCTGTCAAAACGGTTTTAAAAAATCTGAAAACACCACTCCCCCTACTTAAAACCATCCCAACTGCTTCCTGTTTGCTACCTTGAGGTGATGTCTAGGCTTTCTCAAATGGCCCATGAGGCTTTTACGATCCAACCACATCTACCCCCAATTCAACACCCACAAACCTTAGAGGAAGTGAGACTTCAGTTTGAAATCTTAGCCCCGATTATGTGCTATCTCTGTGGAGCTGCGTCTCGACTCCCTGGGCTTCAGCTTCTTTGACTGTGAAAGACACGAGGAGGCTCGTGTAAACGATGGTGGACATAGAGCCCGTGACAACGGTCCCTAGCTTGTTACTACGATTGCTATAATTGTTCCAATTATTGCTCCATACTCTTCCTTCCCATCCTATGACAAGCCTGAGTCTAAGGTTACATCACGTCTTAACCATAATCAATGTCATCCCCCCCAATCACCCAAAAACTCTGTCCTAGCAAAACTGCCCGGTGCTACTCCCAGGGCCGCTGAAGGAGAAGGCAAATCCTGAGTGTTCCCTTTCCTTCCTGCGTGTAGCCCTGAGGTGGCAGAGTATGGCAACTCAAAGGGGCGTGTGCGGGTCTCGCTCTGCGGGTCAGGACAGAGACAGGGGCTGGAGCTATTACCACCCTGTCTTCCTCACACAGGCAACGATCATTTACTACAGCCAGGAAAAATACTTCCGCCATGTGCAGCAAGCTGCCAGTGCGGGCCTGGAGAGGTTCAGCCACGACCCCGTGCTGCAGTTCTTCAAAGCCTATGGAGTCCTCGGGGAAGGTAAGGCATCACCCTGACCGACCCCAGCTGCCAGCCTAGCCCTGCTCTCTGGCGGCACCCTCGGTACCTACTTCTAGCCATGTTCCCATGGAAACAGCCCCGCGCTGACTGCAGAGTGTCGTGGATAAACAAACCATGTCAAGTTGGATTTTGAGACCTTGGCTCACTTTACCTGCCATGAGCCTCCTCGGTTTCCCTAGCTGCAAAATGAGCTGTTAGTGAGAGGGCTGCCTGACTCTTGAGTTCTTCTCAGGCTTGGAAGCCAAGAGCTGGATCTTCGGGAAAGGAGAGGTAGGAGGTATGAATACAGGAAAGCAGGCGTGGATGTAAGACGGTGGGACTAAGCAAGTGCTGAGACCTGTCTGAGTGGCCTGTCCCCAACGCTGGGGACATTCAGGATAAATGCAATTTGTGGGTCTTCAGCAACTGTCTGAGAATGCCCTGGCCCACTTCAGAACTGACTGCAGCTCCTCCAGAGTTCCCAGGCTCATTCTGGGGCACACCTCTGCGTTCCAAGTTCTTAGCCCCGAGGGCCAGGTGTAGTGGTGCACATTTGTTGTCCTAGCAGGATAGAAACAGGAAGTTCAATGTTATTTTAGACTATATATCTAGTCCCAAGCCACCTTGGGACATTTAGTTCAAAAACTAAAACAAAATACAAAAGTCAGGGTTAGAGAGATGGCTCAACAGTTAAGAGCACTTACTAGGCTGGGCAGTGTTGGCACACGCTTTCAATCCCAGCACTCAAGAGGCAAAGGCAGGCGGATCTCTGTGAGTTCAAGGCCAGCCTGGTCTACAGAGCGAGTTCCAGGATGGCCAGAGCTACTCAGAAAAACCCTGTCTAGAAAACAAAAACAACAGGAAACCACCTAAGGTCATCCTCTGACCTCCATATACAGACACAGACACACACACATACACACACACACACACACAGACCTCCCCTTGCCAGCCTGGACCACAGAGCCATCAGCCTTCAGAGAACCTCACCCTCCAGGAAGTGCAGGCTCTTGGGGAACCTAACAAATCAATTTGTCCCTAGATTCTGTGTGTAAAAGCAGGCGATGCCTAACGGGATCACGTGCTGTCTGTCTGGGGCCCCAGAGCAGAACCTGTGTGCCCTCTTTCTACAGACCATATCCATGATGCCATCAGTGACTTGGAGAGCATCCAAAGCCACCCAGATATGTCCCTGTGCTCCGTCATCGCTCTGCTTTACGCTCACAAGTGCTGTGACACCATTGGTGAGTGCAGCTATGCTTGGTGGGCTGGGCCCCTAGGGAAGAAAAAGCCACTGCAGAGACATTAGCCCTGCATTCAGGGCTACTGAAGGAGGCACCTGCACAGGAACCATTGGATCTGCCAAGGCAGGCTGTCCCTCACGCTGTCCCCACAGGCCTCAGAGAAGACCTAGTGGCTCAAACCACCAGAAAGGAGCAGGCAGGAAACAGGACAGAAGGGCTCATCTCTCCAGACCACGCCTTTGAAAGCATCCTTCGTTCCTCACCAAGATAGTTAAAAAAAAATTAAATAAGTAAATAGACTCGGCCATTGTAAACAATCGTGCTCCTAATCTCAGGTTTCTAGGGGGTCAGAGAGAGGTACTCCCCCATCTCTCAGGATGGGCCCTCAGTTCTGCAGGGACTCAGGCTCAGTCCCTCTGCTCAGCACACTGATAAACATGGGCGGGGCCGGTGCTCGGGCGGAGCGGATGCTCCGGGACAGTAAACTGAGCCACCCGTGTACACAGCTCCAGTGGGGCGGGCGTGGCTCGTGCAGGGAAGGATGCTCTGCATCAGATGAGAACATCCTGGTCCCCACTCAGCCTCTCCCTCTTGTGGATGTAGACGAAGAAGCAGTACAAGAGTTGGAGAGCAGCTTGAAGGAAATCCGCAAGACGGCCAGCGAAACTGCCCTGTACTACGCCAGCCTCTTCCTCTGGCTCATAGGCCACCATGACAAGGCCAGGGAATATGTTGACCACATGCTGAAGGTCTGCAGTGGCTCCAAAGAGGTACAAGAGCATGCCAGGGCCACCGCCACACAAAGCAGCAGCCAGACGCATGCATCATAGTGAGGTCACTGGGTCTCAGACTTACACCTCGTCTAAAACCACGTCGCATTTGTGCACAGCCTCCTGTCTCTACTTTTTCTATAGCCTACCTTTTTGTTGCTGTTGTTGGGTTTTTTGTTTGTTTGTTTGTTTTGGTGGGTTTTGTTTTGTCTTTTGAGACTGGGTCTCTGTTGCATAAACTTTTCTGTGAGACATAAACACGCACTCACCCATCAATCACAGACCGAGGTACAATTCCTCCAGAGTCCAGTATGGTAGATCAACCCGTCTATTGGGCTTGACCCCAAAGCAGCCACACAAACCAAAACAGCCTCACCTCAGCCTGAACGAGCACTTCCCCATGACTGTGTAGAGTCTCTCTGAACACCTCCCATGATCACAAGGCCACCTGCAATTGGTGGGGATGACGTCCCCCCAGCAGAGAGGTGCAGGCTGGCCTGTAGGAGCCTCCCAACTCCCCCTCCTCCTGCGAGCAAACACAACAGACTCGCTCTTGAGAGCAGCCTGTGAGTGCTGACCCTGCCTGCCTTCTGATGACCGTGGTGACTGCTGACCCTGCCTGCTGTATTCAGAGTCTGGGTGCTGCAGCCCTATGAGGTTCACAGTCCTTCACGCTGTAGCCAAGAAATTGCAGGCTTGCACTTAACTTGGTGCTGGGGGTGGAACCCAGGGCAGGCACTCTGCCACACACACACCCATCCCAATACGACATTTTAAAAATGTTTATTAGTTATTTATTACATATACGGTGTTCTGCCCTGCACATGTGCCTGCAGGCCAGAAAGGGGCACCAGATCTCATTACAGATGGTTGGGAGCCACCATGTTGTTGCTGGGAATTGAACTCAGGAAGAGCAGCCAGTGAGTGCTCTTAACCTCTAAGTCATCTCTCCAGCCCCCAGTACAATATTCCTTACATTTTTGTTTTGAACTTGGTTGCCAACATGTAGAAAATCAGATGATTTTGCAGGTAAGATGGCCCAGTAGGTAAAGGCATTTACCCCTAAACATGATGACCTGAGTTTGATCTCTGGAACCCATATGGTGGCACATGTGCACGCACACACACACACACACACACACACACACACACACACTACATATATACATGCATGCATACATACATACATGTAATAAAAACATTTTAAAGAAATGGTAAGATTTAAATAGGCAAGCAGGTATCGGTGACACGTGTCTGTCTCCATAGCTAAGGCAGGATGATCAGGAGCAAGAAGCCAGTCTGGGCTACAGGGCAAGACTATCTCAAAAGGAAAGAAGCCAGAAGGGTCTACCTGAAAGTTCAGGTTCCCGGTTCCTTTGAAAACCTAAGTGAGCTGTCAGTCACTGGGCCCCGCCCTCCCGGGCCCCGCCCTCCCTGCAGCAGGTTGATGGGTCTGAGTGCTCAGTACCTCATGTTGGTGCTGGCCTTGGGATTGGAAGCCATTCAGGGGCTGTGCATTCTTGGAAAGCCACAGAGTGACGTTCCATTTGTCCGTGGAGAGGGGTGAAAACTGTCTAAAACAGATAGGTACTATAGACATCTCTAGAGGGAGGCGTTGTCTCCCTTAGGAGAGAGGGCGGGGGAGAGAAACACCGGGCTGGACTATCAAGGGATGCTCAAGGCA